ATTATTATGCATTTTATTACATTGTATTAAGCTTCTGTTTCGGTTCTAAATCTGATCCTGTGGAAGAAATGATGAAAAGGCTTAGTTAGCATGAAAAAGCACTACGGCACTTGTAAAAGTGATGTTTACAACCTCAATGATTCAGGATTTTAGTAAATGAGTTATTTCAATGGCACTAATAATACTCTGTAAATATTAATGGTTTCATTTTAATAAATGTATACCCCTATTTCAAAGTAAACCTCCACATATACCACTGTGTGATGGTTTTCTTGTCCGGACAAAATTCACATCCGTAACAACATTTCCCACGTGACTATAGACAAAAATGTTAATGTTAGAGGGGGGAGAGAAATAGGTTTAAAGTCCACACTACATAAACTATATCATTTCGGGACTAACATACGGTTCAATTTTATTTTGATAATTCGCTTTCTCGTAGGGGCTTTTGCTGTGGGGGGACACCAGAGGACCCGCGGGAAACCCATGACGTTGGATAGGCGACTCTACTCCTTGTCACGTTCAAGCGGGGAATCGAAACCACGCCACTTGACTCAATGAGAGACGTGTCCACTCTCCCAACCCCTAATCTTGAATAGCCTCCATTAAGAAGATTTATCGCGAAACAAGATATATACGCAAACAACGTGCTGACTTAGTCATATAGCTACATTACTATTTTATTATTAATTACTTGATGACCAATCGCTTTCTACCATCACAATTAGCTTTCAGATACATTCCCAATAAGCCTAATGGAAATTAACACAGTTCTACATTGGGCAACTCCATGTTCGTAGAAATGTCAATGGAAATGGCCCATATCTAATGAAAACAACACTGGTGCATATACAATTATTAATATTATCAAGACAAACATAATTATATCTACCTGTTTTAACTTGGTTAATGATTTGGATGATTTAATATTAAGTTCATATTTAACTGTATCTTTATACAGGTTCAGTCATGATTCGTTCATGAATATGGCAGTAAACAGTGTTTTTATCGAATAGTTCTGTGTGGACGTATGCCTTATATCAATGCGATAGTTACATTATTAAAACAGCAAAAAGATACATGCTTTAACAAATGACCTTTTGAAATTCGATTTATCATCCCATGATAGGTTGGTCGGGGTTTTTTTTTGTTTTTTTTTTTTTTGGTTTTTTTTTAATAAAACATCCTATCCGATGTATCAATGCCATTACCGTAATTGTATGTATATTACGACTTCGAGCGCACATTGAATATATTTCTGGCTGAAAAATGTTTTCAGTGATTGGATTCATTGCTGGTTTGTAGCCGACATTTTTCCACCGGATACAAAAAAGGCATTATGTAAGAGCTAAATCTGCCAATTGCAGCTCTTTATTTTGGCCTCAAATATTACATATTAATTAAACATTTATTCATATGAAAAGCCCATAATTAACCCACTAGGACATCGGATGGTCGCGATTTTCAATGGTTTTAAACACGATCGGCATTTAATAACTTGATTTAAAAATGGATAATTAAAGATTTTGTTTATTGTCGTAACAATGGTACTTGACAATCAAGACTATTCTGAACACTTAAAAGTCTGATAACTTTGCTCAGAAAGGAGTAATTTAGCTGAAATTTTCAATATATCCATTTTTCATTATCTTTTTTAAAACTCTTCTGATAAGAACATACAGCTCTTTATCTAAGTCTCACATAATGCATCTTTGGAATATTGATTTGTTTTGAGGGATAAAAAATCTGTAATGGTTGAAAATTGTACGTAAAAAGATAAAGCCAGGGTCGAGATATTATAGTTGGCGAATTTCAGTCTTTCTAAATAATTAATATCTCGTAATTGATTAATTTAGATCATTAGTAAATGTCGTAGTACGTCATGCTAATCCAAACAATGTTATTAATTTCGATGAGCAATATTTAAATCGATTGCCATAATCTTGTTTATTGCTTGTCAGTGACTATGTAGTTTGTGGTGGTTAGTGTCTTGTCCTTGGGTTTGTTTTATCGGGTTTGTTTGCGTGCATAAATATAGTGCTGGCCTTCTGAACTTACTATTAATGATCCAGTATTGAAGATTTGGAGAAACAGCTTGCCAGTTCTAGCTACAATAGTCCAAAAACAGACAATGAAAAATTGAAAATTTTAGCCAAATTACTTTGTTCGAATGGAAGTTATGAATGTTTCAATTTTTGACAAGAAATAGCCACAACTGGCTGATGGAAATTCCGCCCAAATTTCATATTCTCGATTGTCAAGTACCATTGTCATGATAACCAACGAAAACTCGATTGTCATTCCTTTTGCAGACAGTCTCCGGTCATATTAGTCTAGAGCAGGTATGGCGAACAATGCCAAATTCACTCCATATCTAAGCCGACCGATGTTCTAGTGAGTCGATTAAGGGCTTGTCTAACTGCAATATTGTGGTGTCCAAGTGGTCGCCGCTAAAATTAGTACATTTATTGATGCTTTGCGTATACTGGTACCAACAATTTTCATCACATATTATCATAATTTGTATTGAAATACATGCTTTTATCACAAATAATGAAGAATAAACCATTAAACACACATTATGCAAGAGCTAAATCTGCCTATTGCAGGTCTTTCTTTAGGCCAGAGATGTTATTCAAAAAAAAAATCAAGACCATAATCACGTCTGGATGGCTTCAGATACTCGAGATTTTAACTAGATTAGAACGGTCCCACTGCACTTACGGATGCAAAGAGGATGTAAAACGGGGGGAAAAACGTGCCCTCCGTTTGAAAACGCCATGCATCCGTTGTGTACTCATTGCGTACGTGTTTCATACGCTCTATCCATCGAGCATCCGTTCACTTTGATTTCATCCGCGCAAAAAGTTTTGAGCTGCACAAAACTTTTATAACGGATGAACTTTCTGCCGTGTACGATGTAAATGCGCGACATGTAAGAGCACCAAACGTTCCATGTCCGTTATCATCCGTTAAACGTCCACTGTATCCTCTCTGCATCCTCTGGGCATCCTCGCAACTCACATCCGCTCCAGTTGAAAACGGAAAGAGGGAGGAAAGATAAGGTACATGGAACGTCTATACATCGTTAGTAGCACGGAAATAGAAAGGATGTAAGCGTATGCATATCGTATATAAAGTTTTCAAAACGGACAAAGCGTTTGTATCTGGGATGTATCTGGTATATTGAAGGATGTCTGGAGTTTGCCTAACCCCTTCGGAGCTGTCATCCACTTCCATCCGCTTTCATCCGCTAGGCTTCCGATGAACATCCATTTAACATCCCCGTTACATACTTCGCACATTCGTTCTTTTCCGTTCTGTTTTCGCAAATTTTCGTCAATTTTGTCCATTCCTGGAGCGGATGAAAACGGATGGAGCCACCCTCGAAATTTTGCTCGTCCGCTGTGTCCTTTTTGCATACGTTTTGTGTCCATCGGCCACTGGGACCGGGCCTTAAGTCTCGAATATACCAGTGCCCCGGTTACCACAATGTACACATCTTGTCAAAATTACAAACAGTGATAACTTGGCTCAGAACGAAGTAATTTGAATATTTAAATATTTTCATTTTACATTATCTACGTTTAAGCTATTATAGCAAGAATGGTCAGATCTTTATCTAAATCTTACAGAATGTATCTTTAATATTTTTTCATTTTCATATAAAAACCTCAATTCTATATTTGAAGATAAAACTTGATTTTAAACTCAACCTTGATAAAATATGCGATTTTGAGAATGTCCTGGATAAGGAACACAATTAACAGAAACAATGGCATCTTAACATTCGTCAGAAAATGGGGAAATTGGCGGACGAAACCTCGACAGGACTAGCGTCAAATGAAATTGCATTCATACATGAATATTTTGTGTCCTTGTAGTTGCTACTTTACACTGGGCTTTCGTAATCCAAGGTGGATAACTCTCTCTTATGATAAGGATACAGACTAGTAATTATTCCTTCCGATAGTCAAAATCATTGACAGTTTCCATAACATTATTTTTAATATCAGATTTCGGTTTCTCTGAATTTGCTATCATTAATGGAAATCATAACTTTAGTTTGTTTTTTTCTATAAGCTCATTCACAGTAAAAGATGCTATGGTAAAGTAGAGATAAGTAATTTGGTTGACAGAGACTTTAGAATACAATAATAATTTATTGTGCTTCTAGTTGAGGGGGCGGGGGAGGAGGGGGGGGGGTGTTAGTGATCAATATCCGTGTCTAGTTTTATATTAGATCTATAACTGGCGTTTTATTCTAAAAAATATGTCCCATTTACGCCTTGTTTTAAACATTTTTTAATATGTTCCTCAAATTGTGTCTAGATGCAAAGTCAATCGCTTTCCTATAATCTTCAAAACAGCAATAATGTCGCCCAGTTTTTGATTATAAAATTTGTAACTTAAAATAGGATAAAATTGAATTAATAGTTGACTTTCTAAAACCAAATTGTTCGTCCGTAATGAGATAATTTTCTATATCTGGTGGTTCTTTTATTTAAAATAGTTGTATCAGGCCCGGCGGAGTGGGGGGGGGGGGTATTAATTTTTGGCTGCAAGTACTCTTTTCTCCAGGTTATTGCGGCCCCTGGACCCACGCCTATAAGGACCTAGGATGGAAGCCCCCCCCCCCCCCCAATCAAGAATTACTTCCGCCGGCCCTGGTGTATATAGAAACTGAGTAACGTTATTCCTATTGCCGGAAACGAGAAGGGAACATAGCCCGTACTAAAACATGACATTAAACCCTGGCTATTGTTCTTATAATATATACGAACATGTAGTAAATATACCTTGTGTACGTATAGAAGTCTGAAATTTTGAATATTGACAAATTGATAAAAAAAAGCACGTGTAGGTTCTTTCATTAAATGAAGAAACGATAACCATAGTTATTATTTCATTCATATCGATCGTATATAAATATGCGCGTGGCACAAGCAACAGCTTGGAGAACTCAGGTTGTTTTCTGAGGTTCTCTTTAAATTAAATCAATTCTTGGTCTTTTACGGGTTTCATTTTTGTATACTGGACTCTTCTTGCATGACATTTATTTTTTATATGTTTGTAGTTTGTGTTTGTTTTTTGTAAGATGTGGAATTTAAAACTGTTTCTATCCTCTTTGTTAGTTTTATTAGTAGTGAATGTTTTGAGTGTTCATTCCAGTGTAAATGGTATTACAAGACACAATGTAAAATCGGTAAGTTTTTTTTTAAAATATTAATCAATTGGTTTTATACGATTCACTGATCATCCTGGTCATATTGTGTTTTGCATTTGCAAGCTTTAAGCATTCTTTAAAGTATATGTATTTTAATATCTGCTTGACACTATTTACCTGAATATCAAATATCCTTTGTATTTTATTAAGTATTGATTCGAAAGTACACGTAGTTATGTTTGCTTTTAGCGTTATTGCTCTTAAAAGAAAATATCATATAGACTAAATAAAATAAGAAATAAATTCAACTTTGCATTGCGATATAAGAAAACCGATATTTTTTTCAAAAAAACAATTATTGACAGTTTGCTGAGAATTACCAAAGATCCTGATTGATCTGCGATAAGATAATGCCAATTAAATGTTTTTCACGTTTACCCCTTGTTCCTTGCTGTACATTTATGTGACTACTAAATAAAACGGAAGTTATTCTAATTGGACCACCATCAAGAATATCAAAAATAAAAATAGATAACTTTCAAGTAGGAAATTCTTTGATCAAACTCTCCAGTAAAGTAAAAAATCTTGGAGTTTATTTAGATAGTAACAACAGCATGATTAGTCATGTGAACCATCTTACTAAAACATGCTACTATCATATCAAGAACATTAGTAGTATTCGTCATCTTCTCACAACTGAAGCCACAGCTACACTTGCTCGCTCGCTAATTTTGTCACGACTAGACTATTGTAACAGTCTCCTCCTCGGCGTCTCAAAAGACTTATTACAAAGGCTGCAAAAAATTCAAAATTCTCCGGCTCCACTAGTCACAAAATCTCCTGTTAGATCCAGTATAACCCCTGCATTAAAATCACTTCATTGGCTCCGTATCGCTGAAAGAATTGCCTTTAAAATTCTATCTATTGTGTATCGCTGTTTAAATGGAACTGGTCCCGCATACTTGAATGATATTTTCAGACTTTACCAACCACCAAGAAATCTTAGATCTCAGTCTCAACTTAACTTAGTTGTGCCTACATGGAAATTGAAATCATTTGGATTCAAGTCCTTGGAAGTTGCAGCTGCAATTAAGTGGAATTCACTACCCGTTTCTCTCAAATCTGCCCCGTCACTAACAACACTTAAGTCACGTTTCAAGACATACCTGTTTAATACTTCATACAGATGAACTTCATACAGACACTTTGTTCTGGAGTTTAGCGCAATATAAGAATCCTTATTATTATTATTATTACTGAGTTTGTACGATTCGTTAGTAATTTTAAAGACGAATTCAAGTAGACTTCCTGCTGCATTCATTTACTGACCAAGAACATGGCGCGTATAGCGATTATCGATTCGTTTATACTATAAATTTCAACACTATTTCAAGGCATATACATATGAATTACAGTCTTTAATATTCTCCATTTCAGTACACAGACAATCAGAGATTTCTTATCGTTTTTATTGATTCGAGATGTAAGTTATTTTATTTATGAAAACGATTTATGTGATTTGGTTGTTAAATAGTACATTACAACTAGCTTAGTTTTTTTTTAAAAATTCGGAAATAACTTTAATTGATCCAGCTCTGCCGATTACATCCCATGACAGAATCGTTAAAGGTATTTTAAAGTCAATAACATTTCGGTGACCATTAAAATTATTGAGACCGTCGCTATGATTTATAATTATATAAGATTGTAATGTTCAAATAGTGTAAGCAATATTAGGAGGCAGACCACCATTAAATTTCACCATCTAGGTACCCACAAATTCTAGTTCGTCTATTTATAGCAATTCTCTCTGTGTCTCTTTTCTCACCTTTTGCATGCCCATTTTTGTTGATATTTTGGCCTAAAATGGATGAAGAGGGTTTGAATTAACATTTTCTGCCAGGTTTTGGTAAATGTTCATGATTTTGAGGCGGAAGGATAGCGGATTTATCAGGTTGGCTACTGTGATATGTACGGCAAGTAGTTACATGTTTTTAGTATGCTTCTTCAAGTTTGTGTATCTCAAAATTTTGGTGGTCAACCTCATACAAATTTTAGTGCAAAGACATGACCATTTGTTCCTCTGTCTGTGGTGAAAAGCATTCAGTCCAACGAAAATTTGGGAAAAAAGTTGGAGGCGGGCAAAGAGGCCAGAATTAACATTGAAGTCAATGGGGAGATTAATGGTGGTCTGCCTCCATTGCCACAAAGCGAGTGCTCTCCCTTGACTATATACAATTTTTTCATAGAAGAGAAAAATGACCCAATCTTGTTAAAACACACGGATTCTATTTCGTTTCGTTTTAATAGTTCAAAATTTCGTTTTATTTATCTTCACTACACTTGGATCTGGAAGAGTTGTTATTTAACTCGTGTTCTGAATGGTGTCAGGGAAAAGCCAATGAAACGGTCTGTCACGGCGAGCTTTAGGCGTGTTTTGCACTGAACTGGGTAATCCACTAGTAACATCAATGCGGATTGGTTAATCAAATGTCTGACATCATAGGGTCATAAGTCGGTCTTTTGAACCCTGACGTGACCTATCGCTATAACTTGTCAGATCTTCATGTAGTGTAGGCCATCGAAAGTATAAAAAAAAACGAAACGAAATATAGATCTTAATCAGATTGAAAATGACCCATTCTGCTTCTGAATTTAAAAGAAGAAGAAAAAAAACTGTCACTACAGAGATACTAGAATATACTGAAGTCTTGATGTGTACAGGAATAAAATACAACGAAACATTTCCTTTCAGCTTGCACGCGGTGTAAAAACATCTATAAAAATTTTGTAGCCGCTTCCCAATCTTTCGAGGGTGACAAGGACATTTATTTTGGTAAAACGACGGATTTAGTTTTAATCAAGAGATGGGATATACAAGAATTACCAGCTGTTGTTTATTTTCCAATGGGAGTCGAAGAACCTGCTTTGTAAGTTACTATGATGTACACTAAGATATGTATATTTCAGTATAATTGAAAACATTGTCAACCTTTATCAAAACCAATAGTCGTTCCGTTAAACATACATTATGCAAGAGCAAAATCTGATTATTGCAAGTCTTAATTTAGGCTTCAGATGTTATAGAAATTATAAATTAGATCTTTATTTAAACAACAAGCCCAAAATCAACTCTGTAGACCCACGGATGGCTCGGCTACAGCTCGGATTTAAATAAGATTTCACATATTGATAAATTCAAATATGGCGCACCCTGATGAGAATACGTCAGTTAGATCGAGGCTAAATGATAGAGTGTACTTAGCGAGGCCGCTGTAGAGCGTTTCCGCATGCCATTGAAAACTTCACTTGATAATCGAGATATGTAGGTGGAGTAAACGCCTGTCAATCAAACGTTCGGCCAAGGTGAAGGCACATTTCACTACCATTTCTAGTCAAATATTACAACGATGATAACTATGTTCAGAATAAAGTAATTTGACTGAAATTTTCAATATATTCTTCTTTCATCATCTACTTTTGAACTGTTATAGCAAGAATGGCCAACTCTCTATAAAAATCTCCCATAAAGTATCTTTAACTGTTGTTAGCGTGTATAGTTAGTTTTACAGACATCAGTGTTGTTTGCCAAATTGTCATTTCACAAAACCTCAGCTTCTAAAATTCGGGTCCAAATCACGCTTTTCATTAGTCACGTAAATCGTGCAGGAAGCATGGTATGCTTACTTTTCTATAACACATGTCTTTTGATTAGTTAGCATGTCTAAGTGGAAATCTTTATGATGTCATAATCTTATTTGGACAACTTCCCCATTTCCAAACTTTGCGTTCAAGATCTCTCTCCATTGCCTTCTACGATACACATTTGCATTTATATCAAGGATCCTCAAGCATTGTAGCATAGGGGTAGTGTGGGTGGGGGGTCTCTCCCCAAGAGCGAGATTGTAATTTCAGTATGCCTTAGTCGAGTGCGAGTGATATGTTATTTTTCATCCCTTAAACAGTACTAAAAGCTCAATTGACATCATCGCTATTGCCCCACTGCTTCTTTGGAGTTTTTTAACAAAAAGCAAAAGGGTGAGAGAGAGAAATGGGTTTTAACGTCCACTCGATACAAACTAGGTGATTTTGGGACTAACATATGGTTCAATTTTATTTCAATAATTTGCTTGCGCGTAGCAGTGGGAAGAAACCGGATGACCCGGAGAAAACCCACGAGGTTGGACAGACTAGCCTACTCCTTGTCACGTACAACCGGTGATCAAAACCACGCCAGTTGACTCGGCAGACCTTATGATACAACACACACGCGCTAACCATTCGGCCATCTAACCCCCCAAAAGGCAAAAGCAATGTGGCAGGGTTTCTTTCTGCAGTTGAAAATTGTCATCTTGAACTTAAAGCCTAACAAATGCATGTACATCTGTTTCATTACAGGATGGAAGGTGACTGTACGGTAGATAACATACTAGATCATATAGCTTTCATAATGAAAGGAGATTTTACAGATATAAAGAAAAATTACCACGTTGATATTACGGAAGATAATTTTGAAGAACTCATCATGAATCCAGTTCAACATGCTATTTTACTTATATATGATCAATGTATGTATACATTAAAGTATAATACTATAAGTTTTTCAATTTAAGAATACACTGTTTTATTTAGTGCATCGGGGTTATAACTTACAGATAGTCGACAGTTAGATTTTGGATAAATGAAGACGGGCATATACCATACATCACGGAAATTTTGGTCGGACAGCGGCGCAACGGCCTAGCCATATTTCGGATTCCAGTTAGTCTCAAGGGTTTCTTTTACGTGCACGCCAATGTGTTCATGGGACCACGGGTTTTCGTCCCATCGGAACGACTATACGTTGTCCCTTTCCAGACCCTCTGTCCTACACCATTGACAACGTGGAACCGCGCCGGAAAATTCCCAATGGACTTTCTCGGCCAACACCGGAATCGAACAATTCGGGTAAATAACTTGGCATCGTAATACTATACTGCTATACTATTCAAAAAAAGTAGGGGATATTTGATTTTTAAGTGTTATTAAAGTCACCTAATGAAACTGACGAAGAAACAAATGACAAAATGAAATGAAGTTCACATTCATCGATTTATTCCAAATGATCGTTAGACTAAGTAAGGCACAGACTGACCATTATAAGGGTAAAATGATACCCGGGGTCAAACAGCAAAGTTACCACAGCATCACAACCAAGTCAGTAACGGGTAAATCCTCCTCTGTTTGCCAAACAAGCATTGATCCGACGTGGCATACTCCTAATGAGACGTCTAAGGTCATTTTGGTCCAGATTGTCCCATTCCTGTTGCAACGCAGCAGCAAGTTCTTGGACATTGGCAGGACGTTGTTGACGTTGACGTAACCTCTGTCCAAGCATGTCCCAGACATGCTCGATGGGGGAGAGGTCGGGACTCAGTGCTGGCCAAGGTAATGTGGTGATGTTCTGTTGTTGGAGGTAACCTGTAACGATCCTGGCCCTGTGACATCTTGCGTTGTCATCCTGGAAGATGAAACGGCGGCCATGACGTCGTGCGAACGGCACAACATGGACTGCCAAGATGTTGTCCCGGTAGTACTGGCCTGTAACACGCCCTGCAACAACATGTAAAACCGTTCTTCCAGCAACAGTGATGCCTCCCCACACCATAACAGAACCACCCCCAAATCGATCATGGCTGATGACGTTAACGTCTTGGAAGCGCTCGTTTCGACGACGCCACACCCTCCTACGTCTGTCCAAAAAATCAACAGTGAACCTTGACTCATCTGAAAACATCACATTGCTCCAGCGTCGATTATCCCAGTGTTGACGATCCCTACACCAACGACGTCTTGCCTGAATGTGATGATCTCTCAAACAAGGGATCACGCGAGGACGTCGGGCGCGAAGGTGACCCCTATGCAGTCGATTCCGAATCGTCTGGCCACTCACTCTCACACCAGTGTCTGTTTGAAGACGAGCGCTGATCTGATTTGCTGTGATGACACGATTTCTCAAGGCCAAGGTACGGATAAATCGATCCTGGGCTTGAGTTGTCGCCCTTGGTCGACCTGAGCGTGGTCTGTCCTGTACAGATTGTGTATCACGGTATCTGGACCATAGCCTGCTTATGACAGACTGATAAACATTCATCGTCCGCGCCACAACCGCCTGTTTTGTGCCGATCTGTAGCATGCCAAGGGCACGTAACCTTTCATTTTGGGTAAGCCGACGCATATCAAAATTTGTTTTCTGGTCACTAAAACAATTAAACTGATGTTTCCACCTTGGAATTCAATGCCACAATGACTGTAACATTCAAAGTCAGAGTCGTGCAAATCTTGGGTTGGACCCCCATGATGATCCCAAGCATCACCTGCATTCCATGCGGTAGCTATTGGTGCGTTTGGGCGTCACATGTAACTGGAAATGTTTCTTCTGTTAGGTTCTATAGTGACGTTTTTCGTAGTCATTTGCATATTTTAGTATTATGCCCCCAAAATCAAATATCCCCTACTTTTTTTGAATAGTATATATATAGATAGATTATTGAAATTGCTTAAGATAAATGCCTTCGTAGATGGGATTTCCGCCTGGTTTACAAATATAGTTTTGTTTTAATCAGGTATCCTCGAAATAAACTGGTTCAGTGAGGTTAAATGTCTTGTAATTCCAATTTAGTCAGTGTTTGGTTACTAACATTAGTCACGAAAGAAAACCTTCGCTCCTAATTAGATAACAAGTTAATGACCTCGGGACAAATGTGGGCGTTTCCTGTGCCTGTAAAATAACGGAGTGGTGTTCGATTCGCCAAACATCATTCCAACACGATGGAGAGATCGCAGTGTTGATTCCCACATTAGCCGTGTTGGGCAAGAGGTAGAGACTGATATCTTTAGGACTTCTTACGACCATCATGTAGCCTTTTAAAGGTTAGAATAAGAGGCGAAAACATACATCATTCGAAGTTATTAGAACCATCATGTAGCGTTTCAGAAGTGAGGTCTGAGATCCAAGCTCCTGGAACCCAGCTTAAAGACAGCATTCAGAGTTCCTAAAGACATCATGTAGATCCCTGGGGATAGTTTTAGTTTTACACTAATCTTATTTGAAGACGAGTTGTCTTGCATCTGTTATTTGAAATCCCGCGTTCAGAAAAGTGGTCCAGGGGGATAACAGTGTCACAAAAACAGTGAAAATCGAGTGATTTTATTGTTTTGATCTAGCGCGTTGTTTCGATTAGTGACGGGACAAAATCTATACGATTAACTTTTAGTATCGGAATATTAAAGCGGAAGTCAGCTGATTTACTAATTTTTGTTTCATATTTTGCTTTAACTGTCGGTATTAGAAAAAAATTTAGCTATATCTCAACACTGACGCTACCTGTTTCCCTTAAAGTTGACAGATACCCAAACTTAATTAAATACAAAATTTTATGTTTTACCCATATCAGAGATGTCTAGTTACTATAAAGATCCATTATATGATCAGTTATGAGGCTGGTTCGGTTCCGAGATTGTTTTGTGTATGTTCGATATAACCGTACGGTGCCCCATATGAGATATAAAATCTTTGACCGAGTCTATGGTTGAAAATAGTACATTTACTTGAAAAATGTCGGATAAACATGTCATTTTTGCCTGAAAATTACCTATATTTTGTTGGTAATTTTAACATATCTTGCTTGTAATGGGTATTTATTTGTGACATCGGATATTGGAGAAATATACCTTTAAAACTTCTTCATTGTTTTGAACAGATCATGAAGAACAGAAAGTTACTGTTAGTGAAGTTGCCAAAACATTTAGAGAAGATGATGACGTAAGTACTAAAACTGCATACTTGAAATAATATAGAAATATGCGATTCTACCAGAAATTACCTTCAGGCACTTGCTTTGTAAAGAGGGTCGTTATATAGTTTGAAGAAAAGGCTACTTCCATATACCTCTCCTTTCTTAGTTGGACATTAATAATATTTGATTAACGGCAATATTAAAATTCAGTCATATAGCATAAATGAAATTAATTAATTAGAACTATATGGTAATGAAAGAATAGCCAAACTAATTTCCGGTTGCTTTTTGGAACAATATAAAAAAACAACTGAGTTGAATTCTGCAGTGAGTGTCATCTTTACTCTTAACGAAACTTCATCATCAAATTTATGCTTGTGCTTTTGATTTACATGCAGTTGGTGACAAATTAATGTTAATTTAGTTTGATACATTTACTTTCAAAGTACATATGAATCAAAAGTATTCGTTTATTATATCTTTTTTTTTCTTTTCAGGTTGTAATAGCTACCTTAGATGCTGATAAATACAAAGCTTTCCGTGATAAACAGTCAGTTTTTTTCTATATGCATGTAGACCCTTTTCTGTATTTGAGATCTGTTATTATTCAACGTTACGATAAAATAAACAATATATAAGTATATATTCTAATGTGTTAAAAACTTTGTTCAAGAATAAACGGTTGATATTAATAATGGAACTCTTGGTAAACACACACACACAGGCATGATTTTCAACATTTATATTATCTAACCCAAATCACTATTTAAATATCGCTTTTCAGACCTTGTTTGTGTTTGTTGAAAATGTCATATTAATTGATAAAATATTTAATGTGACCAGTTTTGTTACTGAGTTTTTGTTTTAACTTATATTATAGATTTAAGTTTGTTGGTGCTCCGCTTTTATACTGGTATCCTATTGATGATAAGTTTAATAGCAAGAGGGTAAGTTCCGAGAAAACTTATCACACACACACACACACACACACACTCACATATATATATATATATATATATATATATATATATATATATATATATATATATTATTTATATACACACATAAATATAAATAAAAAAATACGCCTCCTAGAGGGCCTATCAAAGACAGTGTCTAATCGTTCAGATGATTACCCCGTGTCAGTGAGGCAAGACGGGTGATCTGGCAAGGGACAACGTATGGTCGTTTGGATAGATAGGATAAAAAAAACACAGGCCTTGAAACCTTGACAGTTGGAATTCGATATAAGAGTATCCGACTTGGTACACGGGATGGCGTATGCCAGTCTTCATTAACCCCGTACATGCAGAAAAGTTGGGCGTTAACCTTATTTCATTTCGTTTCAATTTGATTTATTGTATTGCGCTGTTGTCTGTGATATATACGGCTGTTTTCCAGTACCGGAAGTTGTGGCCGATGAGTCAGCCATAATGCATACATCTAATCGTTGGTTTTTTTTGTGTGTTGGGTTTTTTTTTCTAGTTTGGTGGAGATTTAACAAGTGATGTTATTTTAAATTTTATCAATGAAGAGACGAATTCGTGGAGGAATAAAGATGGCACATTTATGTTGCGGGTAAGCTTATTTTTTTCTTAAAACTAAACCGCAATTACTTATGATTTAAACATTCAATGAGTGCTCAAACCTGCATCAGGTTCTACGCCATAAACAAGAATGTCGGACATAATGTTCTGATAATAACTATCCTGCAATGACTCTGTAATTCCCCTATTCAATTTTTTAAATGTTATTTTCAGTCTGGCAGATATCCCACTCTTGATCGAATCATCGATAACAATTTAGGAGCTATAGCACGTGTTGATGTAGAGAAATTAGATGAGATAATTGAAGAGATTTCAAAAGCAGTTGATAATTTATATTCAAATGAGAAAGAGTAAGAAACTTGAATTAATCATCTGTATGAATAATTGTTGTATATAGGTCGTGTTATAATGTGTCGTTATAGCCGTTGACTCACAAACAGAATGTACCTGGGGTTCCAATATCTGTGTGGGCTGAGATTAAACTTCGGTTGTATTTAAAGTAGCTAAGTCTCTAACTCAATATCATCCAAAATCTTCAACATTGAAAACACGATTTATTTGTCAAATTAATTCAACATTCATGTTGTGATCTTACCGGAAAAAGATGATATTGGATATTTGATATCCAATATTTAAGACAAAATAAACATTTTACCATTGGTACACGAATCGTGTACCATAATGCGCTTCAGCCCCAGTTGTATCAAGAGACTCGAGGGACGAGGCTAGACACATTGCACCAAATCAAACGGCGTATGTAGACTGGAATAACCAGACGCTAGAAATTTGCACTCGCTTGAGACTGCTGGCTTATTTCGCCGAACATAACTGATTTGAAATTGGAGTAAAAACGGAAACCATTGAATGTAAATCAGTTTATATACATTCATATTACAGTATTATATGCGTTGCGACCTACTTTTGTCAATTTCTAGGTCCCAAATGTTAGCGATTTAGCTCCTTTAAGCACGCTTCAGTTTTCTAGTCTTTCCGACTGGACGAAAACCCGAGGACAAGTGTACAAATTGTATAGTACACGTAAAATGTTCCCTTGTTGTTCGAAGGAGAGTTGGAGGAAATACAGCTACCCCAGACCCGGATCCAGGATTTTGTCGAGGGGGGGGGGGGCATACATTGGAGCAAAGAGTAATCATCAGAGTGCCGCATGCAGTAGTGGGTTGGTGTAGTCCCCAGAGTCTTCGTCGCGGCCTCATTAAACAGAAACTAAAATCTGGGAATCCCCTTGCTGGTGCTGGTCTGAACAGTGATGACCAGTCTCACTGGGGCTGAGGGGGGGGGGGGGCACGGCCCCCTGCCCCCCCCCCCCCCGCGGATCCGCGCCTGTACCCAGACAAAATCCTCGAACGCTTTTCTTTCTTGTTTATTTGCTAAATCTGCATTTTACTATTTTAGATTTGGTCAATTCTACATTTATCTTCTACAACAAATACAACTGAAGAAAACAACCAAAGCTTTATCAACGGAAACTGATGTTATATTTAAAGAAATGGAAAATCTAGGTATGAACAGAATCGCAAAATTGAACTTCTAATGGTGTTATTATCACTATCCAAGGACATTAATGCAATGAGTTATGAATAATCTTAAATTGTACAGTCGTACACAACCTTCGACCATTCTTTTATCGAAAATCAAAGAGCTGACATACTTTGGGCAAGATATGTTTTACGAGCCTTCTTCTTACTCGTATAAAAAGTATTAAACAATGGCGGACTTAGCAATCTAATTTGATCATTCCCAATGCAATTGCATAATAATATATGCATAGTAAAATCACGACAAATTTACCAATCATCGAACTGCAAATGCCTCTTAATAATAATGTTGTTAACATATCTAAACTAAATAATTATGAAAAACAATAGCTTCTATGTGAAAAGGTGTGGAATATATGCAACAACTTTTGTATGAAAGTGGTGTGATTTTTATTATCTAATATTCGTTAATGCCGAAACGGGCCAGAAGGCTAATAATCATTGTTCTTAACAAAATGTGCAAAAATAGAAAAAAAGGTGTTTCCCAAACTGGGGTCCACCTCTAAGTTTATATTTTCCAATCGACGTGGAATGTTCAGACTGTAATAATAATCATGTTATTTCTATTTATAATCCAGTGTAATTTTTAAATTGCATTCTCTAAATGTTTCAGATTTGTTTAACCGAAGGAGAGATACTTTGATCCGAAAACATCATATTTTGGATTATATAGTAACAAACATTGGTGATTACATTATCAGTAATCCTAATTTCAAGAAGGAAAAATCTACGGCTAAAAAGAAGACATCGGGTGTACCAGACCATCATGAATTATAACAACATTATTTTATAGTATTTACAATCTTGATCCATTTCATATCTTAATTTCTGGATTGAAGATATTTAACATTTTCAGCTTTTAATTAACAAAGACTGGTTAATTTTAACAAACTTATGTAAAAGAATATTGGCACATTATCTTAATCTGGAATCTAACGATAAATAATGAACAATATAAGCATATATTTTGATAAAACTTACATCAGCAGTATGTAAGATTAGGTCATTGTGTTGCATTATTAATATTATTTAGAGAAACATATAAACTCGTAAATATGAAGTGGAAGTAGAGCTATGGTTAGATAATAAATATGTACTTATATTACTGTAAAATTAGGCATTTGTACTTAGAAATGGCAATAAAATGTCAATTATTAAATTTACTGCTGTTATATTACAGATACATTATGGGAGATAAGATAAAGAGATGGCAGTTCTCGCTATAATAGTTAAAAACAAGATAGTGTAAAGGTAATTTGCTGAAAATTTCAGTCAAATTGATCCACTATGAGCCGAGAAAGAAGTGGGTGAAATTTTTGCATAGTCTCGGTCATCATTACTAAAATCATTAATATAAACAGCATAGTCTCGATTATCCACTTTTATTGATTTAATTATCAATAGCCGTTAGCGGCATATAGGAATCTAATCCAGCCAACATCGAAGGCTAGCCTTGACATCGAGAGTTTATTATGGTCTGGATAAGTTAATTAATGTCTAATTGATAATTTAGATAACATTTCAGGCCTAAAGAAAGACATGTAATAAGCAGGTTTTGCTCTTGCATAATGCATGTTTAACTTTGCAAGAAACGGAAATAAATGAGTAAGAGATATAGTGTATGATCGATTCTAAAGTATAATTAAATAAAATAAAAAGGTGCTGTACAAACAGAGCAGAGGGTAAGAAAGGGGTGTGGATTTCCCAAATAGACGTTTATCACTATCCGAGTGCCAGAGAGATTTAAAATCTCAATGTGCTTCGCTATCGATGCCATAAAGTCAGGTAGCCTACACCGAGAACCGCCAGTCCATACTCTTCTGCAAGCCTTTTCGGGGGAAGGGGTGAAGGCAGCTGCCCTCTTACTTTTGGTCAATCTGACTTATCGGGGAGACGGGCAGTGAACAAAACATTTGCCTTCTATATTTTCGCAAAATTTAGAGTACCCGATATCGAATAAAACACTAATTTTATTTCTCTTTTAATTGAATACCGCGATTTTTTTTTTATCGAATTGGCTATGGATTAAACCATTTGGTATGGAGCCACTCTGCTTTATGCGAAATTATCGGGCATCGATTATTATTTGTGAATTCAGCTGCAACTGGATGATTGGAATTCAGGTCGGCATGGAGAGAGATTTCGGTTGCAAAACTATGGGACAACTCAAGGGCTAGAATAGCAGAAAAAGGGCATTTGCGGCAGTTATATTTTCAAAAAAATTTTGGGCTACGTTAGGATATATTGGACCACATTGGAGTTGTTGAAATAGCAGGAATACGCGTTTGGAGCCGTTAAATGGTTGATTGAAATTCAGACTAGTTAGATTATGGCATTAGATCACTTTGATGTTGGTGTATTCACGGGCTGTATTTGAGGGAGTGGGGAGCTATATTCCAACGGTAAGCTCGGAGCTTGCTGGCGACAAACGCCTCCCTCTGTAAACGGGAATGTTTTTCAGCAGTTCAGGTCTGCCCCACTAACATTCATCGGGCCTTTAGTACGCCTACGTGAACGCCTCATAAATTTCCGAGGATTCTTTCTGACTCTCGCCAGTCAACCATTCCAAATGCCACTCATCAAGTAAGGGGAAAAGAGACTATATCCGATATATATCAACAAGTCTTGAGCTAAGCTAAACGTCTGTTCAGATGGCTCAGCAGCTTGTTATTATTAATATCCTTCTGCTCAGAAATTTACCATAAGATACTCCTCCTAAGACAGTGGAGTAACTAAAAGAAAATACGTAACAACAAGTACTGAGGGGTAATAACGTTCGAGTAGAGATTCATTCTAAAGTCTTTGTATCACATTTAGCCACAAAATTTAACATCACTAGGTCTATAATATATAGTAAATAGCAAGGGCGGGTCTAGAGGTGGAGGGGGCGTGGGTGCACTTTAGAACCGGATTCTTGTCTCAGATCACTGAAAATGGCATTTCCGGGCTTCTAGTTTTCGACATTTTCAGCGTTAGGCCACCTGGATCCCCTGTTGACCTATCCATGGTCTCTGGACCCGCCCTTGAATATGAGGAACTATCAAGTAGACTGTAGCTTGTGTTTTTCATTCGACTCATCGGACTACATCACTTATACATTTTGTCAGACTGATAGTTGCAGAAGCAGAGGTATAAACAGAAACACTACATAGCTATTGAAAAACAATAAAATATTTATCAATAAATACACGTATATTAGATACAGCATAATTATGTACAAAGCAAGGCGTATTATATACAATTTAATCTCAACATTAATCTGTTCGTAATAAAAGAAAAATAATAGGGATTATAATTAAATAACATTATATCAACAAATAATACTAAATAATATAATACTGATGAATTATAATACTGTTTAACATAAATTAATGTTTAGCACATATTATGTAATACTGATCTGATCGTTTCAAGAAAGTAAAAAACAAATGTAATATTTAAAGCAAGAATGTTGTTATAAAATAACTAAGTACATCTTTGTTTTAAAAAAAAAACATATTTCATGAAGAATGAGATTGTTTGTAAAAAAGACACATAGAGATTGCAATGTGAAATCCATAGAAACCTTACTTTAAATGACCATATTTAAAGCTGAAATTGGTCGATTTGAATAATTTCTGAACCAGAATGATAATACTGTTTAACATTCACCAATCATTTACCAATGCAAAAATTTCGTAATGAATGTACGGCATACATGTTTATAAGATTATAACATCTTACATTAAGCATCGAAACAGCGAAATATAATACTTATAGACAATTGAAAATTACCCGGTTTTCATCTCCAGGCCTCTGTAGAAATATGTCTGTTGTACTGAGGTAAGGTATCTCTGTATCGTGCACTGAAAAAAAAATCAAATTGCAGAATAAAGTACTATCTCCGAATATTAATCACATAGATAGCAGTCTTTATTCTCGATGGCTAATAAAATAAAATCTTTCTACAGAAACGAATCTGTGTATGAGCATATTTGTAAACCGTATGTTCTTTACAATATAGACAATGATCTTTATTCTCAATAAAATATAATCTCCATATAAAAACGAGGTAAGTGTATATTTGTACTTACAACACATTAGCTGGCATTGGTTTCTGACCAAACTGATCTAACATAGGTTCCTGGCGTAATGTATACTATAAAGACAAAATATAGGTAAAACTAAAATCTTTAAATTTCTATTTATGTATATCACAGCATCGAGACATTCGAAAAGTAGGCCTCGAATGCAAACTAGAGTAGTGCTGTTCGTTGGTCGCCATTGACTCTTTCTTTAATGCTGGTGTTTCTCTTTTACCACTTCGATCGAACTGAATTAACACCGAGCCATCCCCAATTTAGTTACTAAAAATACTATATTTTGGTTAGATTAATTTTTGAAAGTATTCACAAGAACCAGGTAACTAAACTATAGTCCATTTTTATAGAACAAATGTGTCTTTCAAAAAAAAAACTCAGAAAGCGATACAACGCTGTTATATTGGTAAATATACAAACCTTCCAGGACTTTGTTACATCAGGACGTAAATATCGTACATTATAACCAGTAAAATGTAAATCTAAAAACAAACAACATATATCTTATAATCTAAAACCATAAACAGAATAACTTACAGCATTTGAAACAGTGTTTGTTTTGGGAAAGAATACATGACACTAATTGGAGTAAAATTAGATAATAATAAAAATAAAGTAACATAAAATTACCTTTATTGGAAGGAAGTGGAGGTAACTCCATATTAAAGCGTTCTGGTGATCTGTTCAGAAAATCAGACCACTCTCCTTTTGTTTTCCTACAAATAACAAGAATTGAATTTGAAATAATAAAATATCAGCTGGCAGGATAGCCAATACGGCATTTAAAAATAATAATGTAGCATACTGGGTAAAGATTCATATGTCAGAAGAGAAATTACCACAGCAGCGATAAAGAATAAGTTTGAAGAATTGCAACTGTATCAAATACCATAACTACCAGTATTAATATTATGACATTATTAAAGTATTCTCATAGTCCGCCCCTCTTCCAATGGTAAAATGCCGATCAATAAATGATATAATACTTACTTGAGTTCTTCTGGTGTAGTGTAATATCTGTGCATCTGACGACCTGTTTCTGTTACATCCTTAAAAATACATCGTTTTAGTTAATCAGAATAATATACACCACGATAGCGACGGTTATGAACGATCCATTCTGGCAGGTTCGACCGTGGATGTATCTCTTTTAGTTTGTAATTATGCTTAGTTCAATCGTTATAAACGACAACAGCACTGTATGTTTATATTGTTTAAACCCATATACATTTTCGTTACTTCGTAATATTTCAAAGCATACTAATAGAAATATATAAAGATACTGGCGTGAAATCTATATAAACTAATGTAAACTCCAAATGGTCATAATTCACATTAGACCCCTAGTATTATGTTTTCGTTACTTTTGATATGTGTGTGTTTGGTCTACTTGCCAATCCTTTAATCTATATAACGTCTTTACGCTCACATAACATACTGTTGCACAAATCTCAACGTGATCATATTCCTGAAGCAGTGGCCCGAGAAATCCCTCACTGGCCATTGCTGGATTGACATCTGATACTTTAGCTTTTGAGGGAGTGTGTCTGTTCTTCCCGTTCAGTCAATCTATCCCAAGTACAGCAACACGACTGCCCTTCGTTTAATCTGGGGTCTTCCCTAAAACTTTGGACAGTGATTTAAGGTATTAAAAAAGGTGAAAGTATTGTTCGTCTCCAAACAGTATTGTTCACATTGCAGCCGTTTGATAGTCTCGTTTGTCAAGCAATTAGTTTTTCTGCAATATTCTGCTATGCACTGGTTAATTGGGCGTAATAAAATAGTGAGTCATGACGTAACGTTAGGTAAACATATTTGGTCCAATTTGGATCTCTGTTTAAAGCCGAATGATACTAGTACGCAGTTAGCTATTTGTTGTTAATCGGAATATTGACCAGCCATAATATGGAACAGAAATTTGCTTCCATTACAGCTGTGTTAAGTGGAATTAGGTCTAATCAAACGAAACATTGTGAGGAGTATGCAACGTGATAGGTACATTTATTTTTCGTTCCCAATACATATAATTTGGTCATTGACATAATCTGCTTTAATTAAGTAAGCAGAAAATAACGAATGAATCGTTTTAAATTTCACTAAAAGGATTTGTATAACATATAAATAAATAAAGTATAAGATGGTAATTATATTACTTACCAAACTAGACAAACGTTTAGATGGTGGTGCAAATAATGTGGATGTAGCTCTGTGGAAATCATCTACAAAATAAAAAAACAGAAACTTCTTAGGTATCGTCATTTTGGGAAGAAAGCAGCATATCTTTGGACCCCAAATCACTGATCCGCTAACCCCTAAGACCATTTCACAGGTTATACCCAGAAGATTTTTTTTTTGTCTGTTTCAATTACGTGTTGGCCAAAAAAAAAATCAGCGAGTTCGTATCCATATGAAAGTTGATTATGTATATAAAAATGGTGTCCTGCATGAAAATTTAGACAATACTACATTACAGGCTTTCTGGCAATGGAATCTAATACGAGGAATTTTGATATGCCGCTGTCACAATCAATATCTCAGTGTATTACGGAAGAGAGAGAGAGAGAGAAATGGGGTTTAACGTCCACTCGACACAAACTAGGTCATTTCGGGACTAACATATGGTTTAATTTTATTTACATAATTCGCTTGCGCGTAGGGGTCTTTAGCAGTGGGAGGAAACCGGAGGACCCGGAGAAAACCCACGGGGTTGGACAGGCGACCCTACTCCTTGCCACGTACAACCGGGGATTCGAAACCACGCCAGTCGACTCAATGACAGACTGTATGATACAGCGCGCGCACGCTAACCATTCAGCCATCCAACCCCCCGTATTACGGAAGGAAATAGATTATTTTATTGCCGTTTTACTTCGTGGCTCAACATATTCACAGTACTAATCTTTATTTACGGTCTAATAACCAAATTTGAAATATTTCAGCTACTATCAACAAAGTGTATTTCACATAATCACGTCATGGATTCAATTACCGAGGGTATAACTTTATTATTTAAAAGCAGGGGTCATAAACTATTAATGATAATCACATTGCACAAATTATAGGATTATCTCAAACAATCTGTATAACACAAGGTGAATAATCGATGTTATTTATACCACATAGAGATTTAATTAAACATCTATACAGTAATTCGTGTAGATCAATAAACTGATCTCGAGTGGGACCCATGTTTTAAATTTTATCTATATCATTTCAATTATAACATTACATTTTTACATATCGACATAAAGGTTAGGCGTGTGTGGAGATAAACATAGTCGTTTTTGAAAGACGATACGAATTTCGTGGGAAAATGCATATAAACCTTGAAGGCCCACGTGAAAAGAAAAATCATAAAATGTCATTCGTCTGCGTAAGTAAACCGCTGTCTAAAGTCTATGTTAGCCCCTGTGTGACAAACTGTACAAATTTGAGTTCTCCAAATGTTGGCTATACTTAGTAATTAAGATTGATTTGTTTTTAATTATTAAAAGGAGCTACTTGACTGATTTCAGAGGAAAACGACACTGTTTTTTGGTTTAGAAAACAGGGTTAGGACATAAATCCACCTATATACACCGCTCGTAGTATTAAACTTTAAAATGACTAGAAAGGGGGTGAAGAAATATTGTCGATTTCATTCGTTTATAAATATCTAATTTAGTGCTGCGATATAACCGATTTTTTTTTCAACTGTCGATAACGATAGCGAAAAATGAAAGTAAAATTTGCAAATAAGCCAGCTTCTCCTTGCTTTGTCAAACAAAATGTTCTTGTCCATCCCTAATGGAAATACCATATCATAGATCAACCAAATTCAATACTTAATCTTGGGCTAAATCAAAAAGATCTAGACCTTTAAAGAAAACTTACCCGGTCCACAAGATGTGGTTGTTCGGTTATGCTGGTCGGGTAATTTATGACCGGCGGTGTCCATATCCATTCTTCTAAAAGTTGGTAAATTGGGATGATATAATCCAGTTTTAACAGCAGCAAGTTGCACACGTTGAAACGATGGATATTGGTAAGAATAACTGGGAAATTCTTTAGGGTAGATTTTACCCTTTCCCACCTGATTTGTTCCAATAGTCGTCATGTTTGCTTAGATCTTTAAATTAATGCAACTATATTCGAACAGTGTGATGTGCACTTTATCTATGCCCGGCTGAGATAAATCCCAAATCAAGTCTACTCGTACTGTCACGAGAACCTTACCTTGATAAAGGTTACTCGCGTTGCTCGGTAACGGTAAACAATAGCTTAGCGTCATGGGTTTATAGTAGATTATGTCCCCACTACAGATTTGGAAATGTACACATAAAGTTATTACATAACTTAGTATTTTATAACGTTTATAACCCAACAGTCCAGTCTATCAAATCACTGGAGTATATAATCTAACTAATTAATATCTTTATTAGGGTGCATAATAATTATAAACGAGCAACAGATCAAATCAATATGATTTCTTTTCATGTCTATACTGTAAAGCGCTTATAGAAAATTTTGATTGGATCTGATTTTCTGTTTCATATTGTAAGTATAATACATAAAGTTTGTTACAATATATTATATTTACTGTGAACATCACAATAATGTTTGCCGCAATATAGCCCGGTTGGAGCTGAAGTACCATTAAAAAACATTTCATTCATTCTTCGTTTCATTATTATGACGTCGCCCTTTTTATGGTATTTTATGTAGGCCTATAAATTTCAATGTCAGTAAATGTGATTAGGGGAGTGGGTTAACAACAAAATGTAATTATGCATTAAGCCTAAATGTAGAACTTAATGGTGGTATACTTATCGTAGATAATGCACAGATTCCACAATCTGCATATGTTCGACCATGCAGGAACTGTTATAATAATATGTCATTTTCAAAAAATAAGTCTTAAAGGCTCAATACCACTCTTGTTGTAACTGAATAATATTTCCCTATCTTTATTCTGGTCAACAAATTGTACTATTTTATAATATTTCAATTAATTGATGATACAAATTTCATCTTAACACACCTTATTTAAAAAATTTGAAAAATTCAACATAATGGTTTGAAACGTCTAACGTAGACCTTTTCAAATGAAACTTCGATTTAAAAATATTTTCGAACCCTCTGGACAAGTAAAATAGGATGTAATAGATAATTTACACAACAGGTAGGACACTTAAACATCTAGTACTTAGATAGAGATATTATTTATTTTCTGGAGCTTTCAAGCCAGCAAGAGTGTTATTGTCCCTTTAAAGAACTGGCGTCCGATATACATGTATGTTTATTAAATGTAGACTATATTTTCTTTCTTTATGCTCTGTATTTAGATTAAGCGTGGTGGTGGTGTGTTTGTGCGGGGGGGGGGGGGGTATTATTTCAGTTGAACAATATTAGTACATTATCCTTTATTTAGAGTAAATACAATCAATCTTATTTTAACTTAATATTTCAATCGAATATTATTTTATAGCTACGGTCAAAAGCGTTTTATAGCTGAGGCGCTGGAGGTGCCAGTCTCTTCGCGAAAAAAAATCAAAGAAGTTCAAATTATAAAAAGGGATAACAAGTTAAAACCTATGAGAAAAATGAAAATGTACCCTAGTTAGGGAGGGCCCTAAAGGCAGACAAAAGGGCCCCACGTCTTACAAAAGGGCCACACTGGCCAAGGGAAAGGGGCCCCGAGTCCGAGTCAATCATTTTCTATATATATATATATACACTGTTACTTTCGAATCCACTACTGAATGAGAATGCAGTCATTGCATTGGCATGAAAATCATCAATCAAGAAATCACCATTTCTGAAAACCTACTAATAAGCTATTCAGGGAAGAGATGGCTAGGCCGCCCAGTGTGGCCTGGCTTGGCGGAGCGATCATTTCGTTGCCGAGTATGGAATTAGGCCCCGGCCCTCAGATTAAACCGGCCTCGAGGAACCTGGAGGATATGTCAGAATGCACCAAAATGTTTCTATTTTGCAAAATTTCTCGACCTCCGGTGGCTGGGGGCAGAGACACCCCCCTCCCGCGAAAGAGTGCCCTCAAAATAGTATAGCCTCCGCCATGATAAACCTTAAAACGCCCCTGGTTACGGTCGACGACTTCCAAAGCCCTGATCTTCTAAACAAACGTAAGATTTTCCACCCTGACAGTTGGAATTTGTTCTAGTTTGATCATTATCGTTTTCTTTTACACTGCAACAGAGGTCGCTGTATCCACTTGGATCATGCTGTTGACCTTTTTTTTTTTCATTTTTCTCCCAGTGTATACGTCACTGGAATAGGTCTACTATATATAGAGTGCATTATGGTTGACTTTTATTTTACTGCATCTGAATTATCTGCTTGGCTAGTGGAACGTTTGGTATACCTTACGGATAATTTGATTGGGGCATCCATCTTTCGGTTCATATGTTTTAATTACGGACGGATACTCCGATAAACCCAGTGGCAAGATAATAAAGAAGGCATACAACTCATGTACATGTATATATTCATTTATCATACATTTTTCATTCATTTATCATTCATGTATATAATAAATTTATCATTCATTCATTTATAGAAATATATACATTTAATTTGACATTTATTTTCATAAACAACTAGAATTTGGTTTGGTATATCGGCGTACACGAATAGTGTGCTTATTAGGTCTACCAGCTAACCCTTTTCAACATTCATGTAACTTCAAATAATGTTCGATACAGTAAATTTATCTCATCTTTTGTGCATTTCAACCATAGCGTAAATAATCTCAAATAAAGAGTTTATTAGAAAACTTGAAATGTATTAGGGAGCGGCACTATCGATGTCTTCGGTGTTAATTTCACCATTTAAACTGGCTTTATTTTGGTCGGAACTGTTAGCATTATCAACCTCGTTTTCCGCAGTAACGTCCATGGAACCATCATTCATAGAATTATCGTCTGTTACCTGATCATCGGAACCCAGATAGTCAGATTTTATGTAAGGTGATACATCCTCGGTTTGAAACAGAACAGGCCCCACTGTATTAAAAAAAATTGTCTTTCCATCCATATATTCTTTCACTGAAAGCAGTTTCAAGAAATAAATTAATGGATCGCAAATTTCGAACGTCAATCGAACAGTTGGCATTTCATCTTTCTTGAATTTTTAAAGATTGTGATTTTTCCATGTTCACGGAAATGTGCTTGAAGTACTGGTGAGAATATAAGGACACTTGACCCCCCCCCCCCCCCACACACACACACACACCCACACACACCCTTGGTTAATAAACCTGGACACAATTCACTCTGTCCAAAAAGAGAACATCCTTGGCAAAGAACATGAGAATATCAAAGACGAGCCTTATTCCAATTTACCTTGACTATACATCCGTCTAAATTCACCATACCCATTTAAAGACGAACACTGTGATAAAGATATAAACCATGGTTTAGAAACCCAATCACCATGTAAAACTCCAAGGTCTTGTGAAATCGCCAAACTAATGATATCATTTTGAATTCTGAAAAACAAGATTTATTTAAACGAAATAGCCTCGATTATTCCCATCCTGTATTGTATCCTCTTCGAAAACAACGAATATAGACGTAGTAGTCGAAACGGAGACATTATAAACTGGAAGGGTCGAGACTATGCACAGATGCGAAAATATAAGTTCTTAAAGGTTCTTAAGATTTTTCTTATCTATATAGTGATCACGTCGAGAATTTCAGATGTTAGTAGATTAATAATAGTATACCTGTATGGTCTGATAACATCTTTAGTAAGTTTATTGAAGTCTCTTAGCTCTTTCGCGTCTTGCTTGGGATTTTTTAATGAGATGTAACTTAATCCAAAGTATCTAGAAACTAAAAATTGAAAAGAGCATACAAATGTAATTAATAAAGATCGGGTCATAAACATATTTATATGGTATCTATTAATTCTTAGAAATTCATTAATATTTATAGCGCATAAATTTAGTGATATTTGGGAAGACGCTCGTGACTTTGGCGTCAATTACTTACATTAGAAGTTACACAGAGGAAGATAAAATAAAATAATGAAATGGAGTTTAATGGCAGGTCAGCGCTAGTCGGGCTACAGTGCCAAAACCGAGTTTGACCTAAAGGCTACTTACCTCTGTTATGAAGTTCATTCATTTTTAAAGTCGCTGCGTCACATGATTTCATCCACGAGGTTTCATTGATACCAGGCGCTGTTTTAAACCAATCCGAGGCCTTTTCCGCAGACGCAAATACGAAAATAGCTATTGAAGTTTGTTCTGGCCAGATTCCTGGCTCTGAAATCGGCTGAAAGAAAGCAAACAATAACAAATGAAAATATATGACAGTATCACAGATGGGGAATATTGGGATCAAATAAAGAAATGAACTCGAATGAGGTTTATCGTCCCCTGTTCTGCTCCAACTGGGCTAATGAAAACAGGCATACTCCATACACTGTATACAGTGTGCTATGAAATTGCGGCTGGACGGCGGTACAACCGCCTAATTTTCTATCGAATTTCAACTTCCAAGGGATCTGTTACGTGCACGCCAATGTGAACAAGGGACATCGGTTTTTTCGTCCCACCCAAACGACGATGCGTTTTCCTTGTCAGCCCCCCTGTACTAACTGCCCCACTGACAAGGCGGAACTACGCAGGAAAATCGCGATGAACTTTCTCGTCCAACACGGGACCTTCATGTTAGCAAATAACCAGAGAAAATATTAAGGTGTTTGTTTCAAAATATTGACAATGAACCTATAAAAGATAGCAATACACACAATACTTTAGCCATTGTTTTTATAAAGGTATGAATATGCCATATTCATAGGCGTACGTGCTCCATGAATGTTAGGGGGACAGAATCTGAAAAGCCTGAAAACATTTCGGGTTACAGACGTCTAGGTGGTCACTCGAATTCCAATCAACCAATCAATCGTTTATAATCCACGGAGACGGGACCGTCGGGAGCAAATTTTGAAAATTTAACTGCCGAAAACGTCTTTTCCTGCTATTTCAGCCCGTGAATACAGCAACTTAAATGTGGTCCAATATAGCCTACGTAAGGTGGCTTTCCTGAATCCCAAACAACCAATCGATCTTCGCGGGGTATAAGGGCCCCGGGCTCCTCGACAAAGTTTTGAAAATTTAACCGCCGCATATGTGTTTTTCTGCTTTTCGACCCATGAGTTAAGCAACGTCAAAGTTAACAATCGTTTTGTAACCGAAATTCCACTCTATGCCGACCTGAATTCCAATCGGACTGTTGCAGTTGCATTCACAAATAATAATCGATGCCCGAAAAATGTGGCACAAAGTAGAGTGGCTCCAGACAAAATGTTTTAATCCATAGTCAATTCAGTACAAATTCGCGGTATTCAATTAAAAGAAAAGTAAAATTACTGTTTTATTAGTTTTCGGGGACTTTATTATGCCAACTCGACGAAATAATAATTTTTGTTTTCACTTTACCCGTCTGCCCGAAAAGTCAGACTGCCCGAAAGTTAGGGGGCAGCTCCCCCCCCCCCCCCCTGGCTCGTACGCCTATGGCCATATGAGACAGTAGAGTGATGTTTTTATAAAGTTCTATAAAATAAATACCTGGACAGAAAGGGCAAGTAACTCTCCTTCCCTTTCCTTCAAATATTGTCTGTTTTGCATAATATAAGATCTGAATTCAGCGATGTAAGAATCTTGAAATCTGATGAACAGACCGAATTGATCTGATTTTGGGAGCTCACACTATTTATATAAAAAAAAATATATTTAATGCAAAACTATATTATAATGATATTCATCAAACTCACAAAATACAATTATCATAAGTCTTCGTTTTATAAAAATACAAAAAAGCCTTGGACGCTACAATATCGACATATTTACTGAGAAAATTATTCAACTTTCCATTTTGCTATTAAACTTTTAAAGATGCATTGTGTAAGATTTAGACAGTTCTCGTTATAATAGTTAAAAACTAGATAATGAAAAGAGTATATCTTGAAAATTTTATTCAAATTACTTTATTCTGCGCAATGTTAGGGTTGTTTCGAGAACAGCGGAGTCTCGATTGTCATTGCTGAAGTCGTTACGATAGTAAACAGTCTCGATTATCCACTTTTTAATTAAATCATTAACCGCCAATCGCGTTCAAAATCAAGTGCATCCGATGGCATAGAGAGTTGATTATGGTCTTGGCAAGTTAATAAATGTCTAATTAATAATTCATATAATATTTAAAGTCCAGGGAAAGGCCTGCAATATCAGATTTAGCTCTAGTATAAAGCATCTTTAAGTTCTGTATTCATCTCTTTATGCGCTCATTTTGATCTTCCAATAGAATTAAAGAAACAATTTTGAGTTAATGATTCCACTTACAACTACTGCTGCTTCAGGCTTGGCTTTTTGACTGTTCATTTGAAGAACTTCTTCATAAGATGGAGGAAGAACTGGCATTACACTGCTGTTAACTGGTACATTAGAAGCTGTTGTGGAAACGGTGGGAACAGATTTGTAGGCAGGTGGTATCTTGCCTTTTATGATAGCTTTTGGTGTCAGTTGAGCAGCAGCCAATGACGAAAATTGATAATTAGGCACATAAGTACACATTGGAACATAATTTAGGTTTGGAAAAACTCCATCGCTCCTACCACAGTGGCTAACACCATGATTACACTTTGAATAACATAATGCTTTAGACGTGTCGATTTCTGAAATTATTGAAACATACAAAAATTGTTAGCATATGTGAACTGAACATGTATACTTTAATTATACATGTATTAGTTATATTAAGTTTCGGTTTCAATATTACTGGTCTGAGTGGTCTCTACTACAGTAATTATAAGATCTGAATGCTAATAGGATTATAAAAATAAGTTTTATCAGCAATCTGTTCTCTTTGAATTCTGATAAAAATCATTATTGCACAAGACAAAGGATATTGACATTGTTAGATTGAGAAAGTGTAATACCATAATTTTATGTACTAACTAAGAATTAAAGTCTTACAATAAAATAATGTCATCTTTTGAATCATATTTTTAATGGATTGATTTTCGAGATGTGGATTACCATATTATATTAGAAGTCCTATTGATTCGTTTAGCTTCACAGAACCCAGAATAGACTGTTTCAGACCCACCTGCAAAGTGGTTACTTTGTTGGAGACAATTTCTCATCAAATAGTCATTTTCATTTTATACTACATATCCATGACAATTTGTTATGACCATGTCAAATGCAGTAATCGTGAAATGGTGAATAATTGGCATAAAAAAGGTGCAACAAAACTATGTTAGAAACATTAAACCTACCGAGCGCATTGGACGCAGCTCCTACTGGTTGTGATGGAGTGTTCTGTTTAAGTGGAACAGTTCCAATAATTATTGGTAGAGTTACAGATAGATCTGTGCCCCATGGAACCTCCACCCAAACCTGTAAAGAAAATGCTAGATTTACATTCATGGCGACGCGCAGTCATCTGTCCATCGTCATTTTAAGTAGACCATCGATCTTGGTAGTAAAATTCTTTGCCCACACATGCAATTTTGTATTAATATTACATAGAACGGACGTTCCCACAGCAAAGTAGTAAAGGGGGTTCCCGTCTCGGGCACGACTCCACCATACGACTCCCGCGCCTTCAGTAAACTATGAAACGAACAGGCCTTCCCAGTGATGACGTCCGTTTGGCGACCATAAGATATTTTAAATGCATATAAATCCAAAGTGGTAAATATGAAACAAAAACGGAAGACAGCACGAGATAATAGTAAGCGTATGTATTTCTCAAAAGGGAAATTGCCCAATTAATAATAGTCAATAGTTAAACATACATCATGCAGGAGCTAAATCTGCCTATTGCAAGTCTTTATTTAGGCTTCAGATGTTATAGAAATGATTAATTAGACCTTTATTTACACGACAAGCTCAAAATCAACCATGTAGACCCACGCATGGCTTGGATACAGTTTGGATTTAAACAGTCTTCCATTTAAAATTAAATCAATAAATGGCGGACCAAGCTAACGTTTAGTCGCTGATGTCACTACCGGAAACTGGTGATGAAATGCCTGCCAAGCGAGGCTACCATAGCCATTGAGCATGTTACTTGATAATCGAGAATATGTGGGTGGAGGTGTCGCCGGTCAATGAAACGATCGCCAATTCTCATAGACGGTACAGACACAACTGATGCCTATTTCTAGCCCAAACTTCCAGCAGTGACAATTCCTCTCAGAACAAAGTAATTTAACTAAAATTTTCAACATTTTCTTATTTTATACGTCCACATTGAAATGTGGTCGTATATTATCGCCGCCCTCGTCCGCCCGTCCGTTGGTCCGGCTCTAGAGGCTAAAGTTAATATCCGATTGACTTTAAATTTATGTGGTCGTATATTGTCGTCAAACCCGTCCATCTTGTGGACGCTCTAGAGGTCACAGTTAATATCCGATTGACTTTAAATTTATACACAGTGTTTAAGGTCATCAGACGTAGACGCCTGTTGATTTTCACTTAATTTTCAGCGATTTCCAATAATTACTGCCAGAGTTATGGCCCTTGATCTCTTTGAAAATTCTTGTGGGCGCTCTAGAGGCTAAAGTTAATATCCGATTGACTTGAAATTTATACACAGTGTTTGAGGTCATGAGACAAAGAATCATATTGATTTTCAACGATTTCCGTTAATTACTGCCAGGGTTATGGCCCTTGATCACTTTGAAAAATCTTGTGGGTAAAGTTAATATCCGATTGACTTTAAATTTAAACACAATGTTTAAGGTCATGAGACGAAGAAGCCCAGCGATTTTCAATGATTTCCGATAATTATTACCAAATATTTTGAAAAATTTTGTGGATGCTCTAGAGACCAAAGTTTAATACACAGAGTTTAAGGTCTTGAGATGAACAATTATATAGATTTTCAATGAATTTTGATAAATTTTGATAACAGCTAAATCCATGATATTAAATGTTTCCTATACTAAATGTTAGCATGGGGCAGAACTAAAAGCCAAACAAATTCTAATGATTCTCTGATAATTACTTATTGAGTTGTTACTCTTAATCAGATTTTAGTGTATTATAAATGTTTCATTACCGACAATAGAAAAATGTGCGACAACTCTGGTTGACTGCCCGGACGACTTAGCTGCTGTGGGCGTATGTTTCGTTGCCTGACAACCTACCTTTATGATTTATTTTTGAATTATTATATGGCCAACTCTTTATAAAAGATACCATGGACCTTATAATACTTTATAAGGTCCATGAAGATACTAATGTATCTTTAAATAACCACAACTGTTTAAACGGCTTAGTGAAAACGAAAGCGGTGTTAGAAAATATCTTGTCCTCAATATGCACTGTACAAGCTTTGGTGTAACAGATAAGGCTTGAGGATTTCAGTAAGTGTATACATATGGAGCGGATTAGATGTTTTATCCAGACCCCTCCCAATCGATAATCATGACGATTAGACTAATTAGAGGAAGATGAAGATATGTTATAAACCCATTTAAACAAAGCCGGGGATGATGACTGATGTTTAAGACCGAGGATGTGTAAAGGGGGTTTTATACAGAGCGCGAACCCGAACGCGAACGCGAACGCGACTTTTCGTCCTGGAATGCTCTAGTCATTTTTAGAGGTCCCGTTCATACAGAGCGCGAACCCGAACACGAACAAATATTGGTTCGCGCGAACGACCGCCTTGATTGCCTCCCGAGCGAATTTTTCAGAAGTTCGCGCGAACTTTTTCCCAATGAACCAATCAGCGGGCACTTCCATGACATCATTTCCACGAATAGAAACCGCTAGTCAAATTGCTCCTCTGTCATTCGAAAATACTGTTGGAATTTTTCCGGATGAAAATATAGTTCTTCTACGAGGTGATGGTATTCTCCAAACCCACTTCTTCTCTGTAAATTTCATGCACTGATATTCGCCTCTTTCTCTTCCTTCGTTGTTTCGTGTACAAATACAGTGCCAAGACCTCGTCTGTGTCTGATTCCACCTGAGCCATGATAGCAAATGACAAAATTTATCTCTCACAGCTAGAAAAAGACAAGCCATCACGAAAGCCGTCGACGGTTTTCCGCGTTTGGGTTCGCGCCCTATTTGAACGGTGAAACTGCTGAAAAGTCGCGTTCGCGTTCGGGTTCGCTATGGACGCGTTCGAGTTCGCACTCTGTATAAACAGGGCTTAAGAGAGGATTTTGACAGCGTCAACGATATGAAACAACTTGGCCGTGAGACCCCCGAGATCTTGAGATCCTAGGTTTCAGCCTGCCAAGCCTTAGGTAAATCCGGCACTTGTGTTACTCATATTTTGATTTTCTTAACGAGACCTTGTATAAAACTGACTTAGAAATGGAATGGGGTTTAAAGGCTCAATACTACTCTTGTTGTAACTGAATAATATGTCCCAATCTTTATTCTGGTCAATAAATTGTACTATTTTACAATATTCCAATTAATTGATGATACAAATTTCATCTTAACACACCTAATTTAAAAAATTGGAAAAATTCAACTAAATGATTTGAAAAGCCTGACGTAAAGCTTTTCAAATATGACTTGGATTTAAAAATATTTTTGAACCCTTTGGACAAGTAAAGTAGGATTTAATGGATAATTTACACAACAGGTAGGAGACTAACACATCTAGTACTTAGAATAAGGCTATTTTTTTTTTATTTTTCTGGAGCTGTCAAGCCAGCAAGAGTGTTATTGTCTCTTTAACGTCCCACTTTTTTGCTCTATCCGGGCTAATGAAAACGGGAGGAATATAGATCTAAATCATCAAGCATGCAGAAATCGTTGGGTTTAATTTAAGTCTCGTTGGTAAATGTTATAGCAAGATGAATGCTTACATACCAAAAGGAAAACAATATCGTTACGCTTATCATGATCCTAGTAAAGACACACCACGAATTGTCAGTGTCATAGGGATAAATGGAGTCAGATCTGAACGGGTTTTTAAGAATTTAAATTGTTCATCTGGCCAAATGATTAATCCTTGGACTATTAATTTTATTTATTGAAGTTTTCAAATTCTGTTTTATATCCTGTACGGACAACTATGCTGCAGTTTGGCGTAAAGGCCAAAGTTTTGTTTTAACATTGCGATAGAATAAATTATTTTGAATTTAATATGTACATGAAAACCATTTCTGTGGCTATAGTGCAATACTGTTTGTGGTGATATTCAACTTACCTTAACATAATACCTAACTTCTATGATATGACAGGATATATTTGTTGAACTTGGTGGAAGAGCGTCCACTACCAACAATTGATTTTCCCACTTCCTTTCTTGTCCCTTGAAACAAAACATAAAAATATACACCTGAAATCCACTTCATATAATAATTGAGGAGTGGGGGGTTTGGTGGCCGAATGGTTAGCATGTGCGTGCTGTATCATAAGGTCTGTCATTATTATTACAGCATATTTATAGTGCGCCCTTTCATATAACATGTTCAGGGGCCCTTTGAGTCAACTAGCGTGGTTTCGAGTCCCTGGTTGTACGTGACAAGGAGTAGGGTCACCTGTCCAACCTCGTGGGTTTTCTCCGGATCCTCCGGTTTCCTCCCACTGCTAAAGACACCTACGCGCAAGCGAATTATAGAACTAAAATTGAACCATGTGTTAGTCCCGAAATGACCTAGTTTGTGTCGAGTGGGCGTTAAACCCCATTTCTCTCTCTCTATCTTGTTGTGGAGTGGTCTAAGGCGTGCGCTTTCGATCATAGAGCCTGTCAAGTGGCGTGGTTTCGATCCCAATTTTGTACCTGACAAGGCTGGGGTCCCCTGTCCGACCTTGTCGGTTTTCTACGGATCTGCATAATCTCACTTTAAAACAATATTAACAGTTACTCGATAACTGTTTTCTTCCTAATGGAAGTTGGCATTTCTAGGTAATGAAATGAAATGAAATGGGGTTAAACCTCCCGCTGTTCTGAAAATACTGGGCTGTTGAACATGGGCATAAGCCCGGGTACGTGCTCTACGGTCTACTCGTATTTTGAATTCCGACTGTCAAGGGTTCTTTTACGTACACGCCAATGTGTACACAGAACTTCGGGTTTTCATCTCATCCGAACATATATACATTTTCCCTTGACAGACAGTCCGCCCTGTACACTGAAAAGGGGGAACCATGTCGGAAAAATCCAGATGAACTTTTTCAACCTCCACATTAGCGAGCAAAAGTCTTACTCGCTGTGAGCCACGGCGACTCTCGGTATTTTTTAAATAGTTCCTGCTTGATTTAATTGATATTTTTAATTTTCTTCATATATTAACATACGCCTATAATATTTATGAAAAACTTACGGCTCCTATAGACGATTCTCCTTCTATAATACGTATATGCGTGTCGGAGCTCACACTCTCACCATTGGCTTTAAATACAGAATTCTGGCTTATCCTCGCTTTCAATTTACCCATATCTTTTGTCGTATTATTTTTAACTAAAACTGGAAATAACAAAAACATCAATGGGTGCTTGTCAGGTGCAAAAGTATGCGTGCCAGCAAACGAATTCCTGTATATTGTTCATCAGATTTAAAAGTGAGTTGAAGGGGGCTGGGGTAAAAGAAAAATTATGACAGAAATAGTTTAAATATAAGGGTTTCCTCCTTATTCCCAAATGAACAGTTTCCCACCCCTTAACCCTCTGATGTTATAAAAATTCTGCTTTGAAAGTAAAAATGTGATCAGAGAGATAACTCCACAAAATGAATATCGAAATTTACAAACCGATAGTTTGAATTTCTATGTAGTACAATATGCACTATAGTAAACAACCCCACTTACAGTTTTAAAAATTACAATATGTAAAAGCCAAAATGTAAAGTTGACGATCAATGTATTATGAATCTCGATATAGGTTACGCATTATAACATAATAAATAATACAAGCAAGTCTTTAAAAAAAAATAACAAGCTTTATATACCAAAATCGACACGCTTTCGAAATTTAAAACTCCCGAATTCTCCCTTGTATTCCACTAAACTTTTCCGCTGAGTTTTTAAAAAATAATGACTGAGAACATTATAATAGCGGATTTAATGTCGTTACAAATTACAACTAATTAATAAATTAACTAGATCGCCTTAATTTGGCTATAGCATAATATTGTCGATTTAATTTAGAGTTGATTTACTTTGTGTAATGGGTATCTTTCTATATTTAAAATTTTACGTTTTCAGAAAGAGCCAATATTGAGATACGTCTCGTTTTGTGTTCAACTGTCGAAACTTTAAGCTTATTCCAAACACAAAAATAAAATTAGTAAACAAACCAAATTTCGGTTCGAAAGAAAAAATTTAATCGCGTACATTCTGTTACATAACACATCAGATCAACCTATTTCAGGACTAGGTTTGACTCTAGCCATTTTTGTCCTCATAACTACAAATTATAACGGGTGTCGTCCACAAGGCAGGGTAATTTGATCTTATCCGAGAGAGTTGTTACTAACCTTGTATGCTTCTTTGTATTCAGTTTTGTTTTTGTGACGGATGGAACATATACCCTATATGTATTGAATACTGAAGCGTTTCTTGATTGAATTTAGAGTTTAGACTACTTTTTTTTATACATTTCACCGATGTGGTTACTTGTATAGTTGAATTTTACTACATATGCTTACATTCGTATTTCGTGTAGCATATAGCAGATCATGACTCATTTGGGTTGTATTCCTAATTGTTTTCAAATTTGAGTGAAGTCTGTGTCACTACAGACCAGGGACTTTACAGCGCAGTGGACGCTTACGGCTAGCCCCCGGATTCATTCACTTTTTTGAATTGTCTGTATATTTGTGTTTTCCTGAGTATGATGTCCTGTCCGTGTATTTGTTTTTGTGTAAATTTTGTGTGGTGCAGTCCCCCTGCACTTACTATTAGATGCCGTTGTCATAAACTTCGAAGCCAAGGTGGTTCAGTGATAAAGTGCGGGCTCATTAGCCAGGAAGTCTGGGGTTCGGTCGCGACTTTCTATGTCTGTGATCATGGGCGTCACAGATGGGGGGTCTGGGGGGGTGGGGTCTGAATTTACATAGTAGGCCCTAACTCCTATTTATTTACATATTTACAACAATTATTAGGATTAGTTAAGATTTTATCTGTAAAAAACCTGTACATATATCCCAATATGGTTTACATTGCTAAAATAAAACACAGAGAGAATCGTCCTGGAAACATGTGTGAAGTGAAAAGTAACTGTGTTCCATAAAATTGTGTCTAGTTAGCCTGACAGTAATATTTTGTTATTTTTTTCTGCTACTTATCAGAGTGAATCGCATATAGTTACCCAAAAACATTATCGCCTAAATCAAATATTTATCGCCCGCTCAGCCAGCCACGTAACCATAATATATATGCTCTGCACGCAGTGTCTGGGCCAATCAGCAAACGAGTTGTGTAGACAGCATGGCCACATGGTGTTGCTTTATATTTTATAGGGGTTTTAAAAAAGGGTTAGGGTTTAGGGTTAGGGGTTAGGGTTGCGCCCCGCCCCCCCAATATATATTTCACGGCTACGCCTCTGTCTGTGATGCAGGGCGGAGTGTGTGTGTGTGTGTGTGTGGGGGGGGGGGGTGACCGTTTGAATTCGAAATTAGAGCAGATCGTAGGGCGCTGCTCGGCAAATGTCCCTCATAGCCCACTGCATGGTTTATGCCCATCTTCATTACCTCGATTGGTGTGGAACAGTAGGACGTTCAACACGGTGGTGCGTTGTTTATTAAGACTTCAAGATGTAGTCTTCGTATAAATGCTTACCATTAAGTGCTATTTTTTCACCCGGGCAATAAGCTTTTCTGTCGCATTCAGCATTTAAAACCAACGTTCCAGCATTGCCTAAACCCAATGCCTTGGAGACAGTTTTTTCTTGACCACGACGAACTGGAACCTGTAAAAGATAGACAATAAGAGATAGGTCGAAGGAAGCAGAATTAAATTGGCATTTTAGTCCCTTTTTGGACATTTACATTATTCTTAACTTTGACATGTTTACCAATTTTTATGGGAAACGATGACAGGTTTATTATAAAGGCACGACGTTTCTGAAAGTATACTCTTATATTAGTAAACTTAAGGTAAGTATTATCAGAGAGCGGTCGTAGGAAATAATGTTTTTTTCTAGCAGCCCAGCCAATTAAATAGGAGGAGAGAGAGGGAATGGGGTTTAAAGTTCAATTAACACAAACTAGGTGATTTCGGGACTAACAATTGTGCGTAGGGTCTTTAGCAGTGAGTGTGTGTAGGGGGGGGGGATCCATGGGTAGAGAATTAAATTGGATTGACATGTATTCCACTGTCTATTGGTTCTTGTCCCAATAAATGTCTTTTTCAATGAATCTTCTTAAGGAATTGAAAATGAAATAAAATGGGTTTTAACGTCTTACTGTTCGGCTCCGACTGGGCTAATGAAGACGGGCTTAATCGTACACGTCAATGTGTACGCGGGATCTCGGTGTTTCGTCCCATCCTAACGACTATATATACGTTGTCCCCTGCCAGGCCCTAGATCCTGCACAACTGATAAGGATGAACCTGATGTGCCACACCTGACTATCCCGATGAACTTTCTCGGCCAACGCAGGGATCGATCTTGTTAAGGTGTTATATATATTATAGTGTACGTGTGATACAGCATAATGTATAATATTTTATTTGCTTGCACTTACTTTATACACAGGTTTATTAACATCTATTTCTTCTAATACTGTTATACATCTATACCATTTCTGATCAAAACTAAAGGTCGGTGTAGCAACCACAACTGTTAACCAATATCTAACAGCTCCATTGTCTCCTTCAAATGACGATGCAAGGCCATTACTTGGTAAGCGAAATGAGAATTTATAATTTTGTTTTCCAGCAGCAAGGGTAACGTAAGGTTTGGAATTCTCGCCAGCTGGAATTAAGAAAAAAAATTATTATCATTATGCATACATATTCCAATGACAACTGGTTCGGGTCGAATGGGTTTATGCATCGCTTTGTGATGACAGCGGAGGAACAATGCTAGAAACTGAAAATAACCTTAAAATTAAAGAGGCTTTCGTGAGTTATTCAAATACATTTTTACTGTACATGCCCTTTTAAAAATTCCGATTAATTTATGTTTACCTTTATTTCCAAATAAAGTCACATAGTGTCCAAGATATCTCTCTTTCGCTACGTTCACTTTCTTTTCAAACAGAGGATCCCACTTCGTTAAAGCTTCGCCGTAACGGAATATTCGTACAGATCTGATCTGAAAACTTTCAGCAACTTCTAGACTAACAGTACCCTGTACCATTTCGCCATGTCTGTATACTTCCTTTTCGCCATCCAGTCTAATAAATACCCGGCTTATTTTTGGCATGGTGATTGGTGTTTTTTAGTCGTTTCTATAAGATACAGTAACAAAGATCAGTAAACTATATGTAGCACACTTTTGGAAGAAAAATTACTAATCTATTGAAGCGATTAGTCTGCAATCCGAAAATAATGAAATAAGGTTAGCATAGCCATCTTTGGGTTCATTTACGTACATATAAATTGGAACTGGAATGTAATTTTTTTTTTTTTGAAAACTTATTGGGATTGAGGGACTTAATTGGAACCCTATGGACTTTGGCCACAGTTACTTCCCTCCATTTGTTGTAGTTCGCATTGATTCTTGCATGTCCATTATTGTTTGGTCTAGAATAAATGCAAAATTTAGATTTTACGGCCAGTTTTTGCTCATGATCAAAATTTTAATGCGAAAAGATAATAATGTAAATATACATGACGTAGAAAACCCTGTGAGAAAATGGGCTTTATCAATAGAATAGCGGTTATAAAGTCGATTATAAAAATTGTAATAAATAAGTAAAATCTTGGGCAAATTTGTTTCTTCTAAAGTTAGACTAGGAGATACACACTATTACTGTTGAGATCACAGACAATTATGTAAAAGCGCCTTCTCCACAAAGGGGTGTGAAAAGTTTACTAAATGTCCCATATTATTTAGCAATTAATTAATTCCATAGTTCAAAGATAAAAGGGGTACTTTCGGGCCATTTATAACTATTACAAAACTCTATCTTGAGGTTTGGTTTGGGTGGAAATGGGTTTCACAGTATATTTTTTTCTTCTCAGACAAAAGGGCGGTAACAGTCGTCAAATTCTGTTAAAAGCGGAATCTGCCCCTAGACCTCGACCTGACCGTGAAACCGCCACTGGTTATGTATTTATTTCTTTACTGTTGTGATACACTTTTACCTGTCTTATATAATCTGTATACTTCGCATTCTTGTATTATTCTATTACTCATGTTTAATTGAATTTTCTTTGGTTAAGTAGATGTGCGTGTAGTCTTGGCTATCTTATGATACAATTTCAACAGGTGAATCTACCTAAAACATTGATATCGTATACCCATTTCTAAAGATAACCTTTCGTAAACTTGTAAATGAATAAAACGGTCAATACTTACTGAGTGTTGGGTTTATTTTTTTATAGTCGTCCTTTTAGACCGAAACGGGTTTCTAATAAAGTAAATTTGAAGAGAACGTATTTATAATGTATATGGATAAGTTGTCGCAATATGTTGTAAGCTATGTCATTGTCACCAATTCAGTAAAATTTCATCGATATCTTTGCACGTGACTTGTTTATCAGTATTATTACATCCCTATATACTGACTAGTTTACAACACCATACAAGATTTGATATATAAACTTCTTATATTGCGACATAATTACACCTCGTTATTTATCAACATCAGACAAAATTCCGTTGTTGCGGCGACAGCGTCATTGTACATGTATTACAACATGGTGTACGCCTGAGAGGTTTTCTCTGATACAGTGACGTTCCTTTTATGTATGCAGCACTTGATGCAGCACCCGATGCAGCACGTGAAAGTGGTACTGCCTGGGACATTTTTTAACCAATCTCTGACATAGGGATCCGATGTGGCGAACATTTTTGATTGATTTTCGGCATTTCGATATTAGGACAACGTTCACCTTCACAACCAAAATATGCCTACTCAAATAGCACTTTGAATCTCTGCTTTGGATGCCAAATTTAAAATATTTAACTCAAAAATTTTCATTGTTTTTGTCTTTTCTTACTGTCGCAATTAAACATATGTACATTATGCAAGAGCTAAATCTGCCTATTGCAGGTCTTTCTTTAGGCCTGAAATGTTTCCTAAATTATTAATTAGACATTAACTTATCCAGGCCATAATCAAATTTCGATGGCATCGGACTTAGCTTCGAACAACCAGTACGTGGTTGAAATTATTGCATACGTCTTGTCAAACCTTCAAAGGCTAATTACAAATATATGGCGGCAACAAAAGTGCTTAGTGGGACATTTGTTCCATTACTTTATATGCTAAAAAATGCCCCTGTGTAAGGAAAATCATCTTTACCTCAATATTCTTTTTGAATATCACTTGGTAGACGAAGAAGCCTGTGAGGATGGTAACGGGGACCATTTTTTTAGTCTTCTTCAGATACAGCTTCTCATTGCAAAGTAAAGATCTTAAGGATAGCAGAATGTTTATCTCAGCTAAAGAGAAAAAATGACTGGAAATACAACTCGAAAAAACACTGAGTTTTAAAAAATTCTATCAATTCATGAATTTAAACTTAAACGGGTATGGGGCGATTTTTTTTCCAATATGCTGTTGAAAAATTCACAATTTCCCTGTGACCCCATAAACTTTATGGCTATGGATACACAACTTATTTAAAGCTAGTAAGTAGAACATGAAACATAACACTTAGTTCAGCATTTCAGATATTTTTATTTGATATAATAATGCCAGTTATAATATATGTCTTTAATTTAGAATCATTAATAAGCACAAAAATATCTTTTCAACATAGGTGTATATAAGTAATTATAATATAGATGAAGTAATAAAATAATGTTCAAGGATTATGTTAAATGCATGGAATGATTCAATTTCTTGCATTTGCAATGTTTTCTATTTTCATTTGATATACAAGCATTTCTATTGGAAAAAAAAAAGTATTTCAAAATTTATTCCGAATAAAGAGACTATATAACTTCTACCTTATTTAATACTAACTATTTCTAAACATACTTGCATGCAAATATCCTGTTTGATTTTACTCTGAAAATATTTCTATCTATTTGACAAAAAGTGGCTCAACTATATACTACTCTCTAAGTCTGTTTGTGATGAAATAAGAAAAGGCTTAAAAGACTATTATGGATAACATTATTTTCACTATAATTTATCTCTAAAAAGAATAATGTAATATGAGGAATCAAATCAACATTATCCATAATAATGGTTTGGATAAGACTATTCTAAAGCCATGTTTAAAAGACTAAAGTATATCATGTACATACAAAAAATACAACATATATTTATTTGTACAAATATATACTTATCTGATATATGATATGTATACTTTGTTCACAACCGTTTATGAGGACATACAGTTAGACAAAAAATACTACAATCTTTTTTTTACAAGTATTACATGGTAACATTATTTTAAGATAAAATCTGGAATAATAAAAACATCAATTTCGTTGAGAAATCTGGCAATCATGTACAACACTCATACAGATGTGTTCCAAGAAAAATTGAAACTTTAGCCAAATGTGCTAGGCTTAAGAGACGTCCAAAACAAATGAAATTTTTCGTATGCATTTTGAAATATGATTTCAAAATTTTGAAATATGATTTTGTTTTATTGCTTACACAGAAAAAGTATATTAACACAAAATCTTCCAATATGAAAAACAAGTTATAAATAAACCCCAAAACTTTAATATTATCTTTTGAGGTATCAACTGATTAAACTAATTACATGATATGAAATGTTCAACCTTAATATCATATTTCAACATAAACTATAATCTGATTCACCTGTCCTTAATATTCAGAGTATATATCACATGTTTAAATGATCAAATTTCAATTTTAATGTATAGAAAAGCTTTATAGAAATTTGTATGAAAAACAAGAAAGGAAAAATGTGTCTTGAGATACATGTATTTACATTGGAGTAAAAAAGACAAAAATATCAATCATAATATTGTCAAATATTGTTGTGTAGCAAAAGTTACATTTATATAAATGAGCAACACACAATACACATACAATCTATAAGGCATCACTGGTTAAAGTTTACATTTTGATAAGACATGGTAATGATTCAGATATTAACTTTGAAAAATACAGCACATTATTGTATTTTATCTAATATTTATATTCATAAGTATTTTTCATGTTTAAGTAATTCTACTTTGTCAAATGAGCAATGAATTGCATATTTATTTTAAGGAGACGGATTGTGCAAAGAAATAAATATTTAAAAAATATAGAGAATCTGCTCAAATCATTTACACTAAGATATTAACATATGTGCAGTAATACAGTTTTAAACTATTAAATCTGAGCATAATTATCCAATTGAAATATTTAGCAGTTTAACAGTTATTGAGAAATAATACATGTCCATGTAGATGGGAAAAATATGATTATCGAATTTTTCAAAAATATGTAAGCTTATGTGTTGAAGTATGATGTACATGTAAGTAAAACTATGTACAAATAAAAAAGGGTTATCAAGAGCATGCATATAATTTAGAAGATGAATAAAGCTACTATATACAATTTAAGCAAACAGATATTAATAAAATATATTTCTTGCTATATACATAAATGGTAATTAAAAACATGTATTGTATGAAAAATATGAAAATTAAATTGATCCCAAATGATGAAATAGGCTAATTCTAAATGTACGATTACTACAATAAACGGACAATGAAATATTGCATAAAGAAGCCACATGGAAATTAGTATAGAAAAGACTATTATGGTACATCACAGCTAGTAATGTCCTTAAATAATGTTTAAAATATGTCCTTGACTTTTAATATGTCAATATCAGTTTTGTGTACATGTATAATGCAAATTTAGAACACATTCTTTTGTATACTGTGTCTGTTCCTTTAAGTTTATGTACATGTACCATAACAGTCTCTTAGAGAAAATTTGACCTTTCTACTAGAGGTTACTACATGTAATTGATAAAGGGGAGAAGCTACATTTGTATGTGTATATCAATATCAAAATACAGGAGAAGATACTTAAAAAACGTGAAGGAAAAAAAAGAAGCTAAATCATAGTATCGCACCTAAAAGATTTCCCATATTAAAAAAATTGGATTTAAAAAAAAAATGTTGGAATGTTCTCAGCCTAAATCAGAGTTGTACCTATTAAATGAGCTGAATCAAGTAACTTAAAATCAGGTTGGGCAAGATGAAAGTACCATTAATCAGAACCAATTACGGTCTAAATCAAATTGAAATTTGTGGATTATACATGTAGATGTACATTAATCACCATGTTAAGTACATGAGCTTGATTATTATATAAGAGCTAATATAAAAGGCAGAGAAAAAATGTACAAATGTAAATATCTGTGCAATGTTCAATAACTTCATGTAACACTAACAGTGTATATGTATGCAGTCCTTGTTTAATACAATGTGTCGGTATGTATTGCAATACACCTACATGTATGAATCATATGAATATAATTGTTACTACACATTGTATCACACATATAAACAAATGTACTTGGTTGATAAATACACTCTAAAATCTACATGTACTGACTTATCTCTGTTACTGTCTTCTCTGCCTTTTATAATAATATGTACATGTATAATAACTGTTACAATTTATTTCTGAATCTATGACCACCATTCTTTTATACTGGATGTAATATTCTGATTACTGTAAACTTCTACAAGATAACCTGCAAATCGCTGTAACTGTCTTAAAACAATCATGGAATAGGCTTCATACATCTCAATTACATTGGTTGAGAATATATGCCAATACATTTGAAATAATTTGAATATCAAATCAGTAGATACAGCTGTAAGTCTTGTCATGTCATGTACAAAGACCTGAAGCCAACTTCCATTATAATTAGTAACAGCGTATTTCCACATTATCTCAATGTAAATCTGACAATAATTTGTCCAGTAATCTCTTATCGTTATCCAATAATCTTGACAGTAAACAGTCCAGTATTGAACTACGATCACCCAGTATAATTCAAAATATTGTTTCCAATATCTGTCAATGACATCTCTGTAGCTTTCTTCCTTGTACATAAATAACTTGCATACAGTGGGCCACCAGTGCCGTATAGTTACGTAAATCAACACAATGAAAAGGACAACTCCAACAAAGGCTGCAAATTGCTATAAAGTAACAACAGCACTGTCTTTATCACTCTTATCATTCTTTAGTAAATGATCGTGAATTTCATCCTCATCATCATGATCAGCAACAATGTCACTATCAAACGATTTGGAAGAGCGATGGGAATTTTGTGAGGCTTGTGACATTTGGGAATCTCTGCCAGTAGCACCTCTTTGTGGGGCTAATGTCATTCTTTGATTGACAGGTTTAACAGTTATAATAAGGTTAGCGCTATTGGCTACCATCATGTCAGTTACTTGATCTAAAGTTTTTCCAGTAACCTCGATACCGTTAACTTCTAACACCTCATCATTTACTGCCAATAATCCCGTACTTTCTGCCAATCCTCCTGGTACTAAACGTGATATAAATATACCTGGAACTTTATCTATCCCCTCTTTAGACATTCTAACACTTGTACCGTCCCTGATGTAAAAACCCAATGGTTTATCGGAACCATTTTTCATGAGTTTCACCCTACGCAGCGTATCTGGAATAATATCAACATCGATGATCGCTGATACCCTTCGGAAATCTTCTGGTAAACTAATAGTTATTCGCTTGACAGGTTGTTCACTGCTGATCAACTTAGTGATGGGATTCTTTTTTCTTAGCGTACTCGTACCATAACCATTTAGTTCACATTCACTCTCTCCTGTAAAATACATATAAAATCTTATATAGACATGTATCATACAATAACTTGAATAAGTTTTAATGTACTGTACAATGTACCAGTATGTGCATGTACAATGAACAAGCCAACAGTACATGTAAGCTGTAAGGTGGCATCCCCCATCTCAATCCCAAAATAAATAGACAACATCTACATCTATTAATTTATTGTACATTTAACTTTTTTAGTAAACCATTACACAATCAATATTAACCTAACCAGACAATGCTCATGATTGAACTTAGACGAAGTATTGATGTATAAATGAAACTATACACCAAATAGAATTAATCAATCAATCAAATTGCTTACATGTACATGTATCTCCACTTGACCATTCACCTAATAATGACTACTAAGTTTCAACATTCTTGCTTACTTACACATAAAATCAGATTTATTGTGTCCTAAAAAGTGTGATGTACATGTACAGACAGGTGGATCAACGAACCCATTGCTTTGTTCAGCAGGTGGGGGAAATAAAAACCATCATTGCATTAAAATAGCAAGTTCCCCGTACAACTACATGAAAGGTCTTTACACTATGAACATGAAGTATCAGGCTTATATGGAAACCTGTCATTGCCACAATCTAAGGACCTAAAATATGTCCTGTAGTGATATATCATTCAGTACAGTCTAATTAAAATCCTGTCACTAACATTCAGAAAGACAATTGAATTCAGCACAATCTAATCAAATTCCTGTCACTACACATTCAGAATGACTGTTGAATAACAAGTTTGTAATTATTCATCTTTAGAAATAAAATGAAATGGGATTTAACATCCTACTGTTCTGCCCCGACATGGCTAATTATAATGAAGACAGGTTTATCTTAGGAAACAAAAATAATTTTCCTTATTAGACATACATTTGTAAATGGTACTGTACATAACCATTCAAAGCAAATTTTATACACATGTAACTTCTAAAATATGTGTAAAAAATTGACAGGATTTAAATGGGGCTGTGTTTTCATCAAATAATCCATGCATTTTTAAGTACACAAGCTCATTTCGAATATGTGCAAAATAGTACATGTAAGATACCGGTACTCGGACATAGTACAGCCTGGTTTATATTATAAAACCACTTTTAACTTTTTTTTTTGTGTTATAATTCATTAATAAAGGTTATTTCCTTTATTAACTTAAATTTATCTCATGGTAATAAAAACTAATACTATTAACATAATATCTTCCTGCTCGTAATTACATGTTCAGTCATGTTGTACAATAAATAAATACATATTATTGTAATAATCGTACAAGAACATTAATTAGCTTCATAAAACATACCGTTTTAAGATCACTGACAACCAACAAAATAACAATACCAGGTCAATGGAAAGGCCAAGTGAGAAACATTACACTTAACAAGTTTATCTTTATAACTGATAATAGCTTTAGTATGTCCCTTAGGTTGAAGATTTACCAGACATACATGTACATTGGTGGATTTAACACAAGATTAAGTATGTACATGGCATGATGCAGCCTTTGTATGGAACATTGTATGTTTAGTTGTTTACATGTACATGTAAAATATTAATGTAACTATCAATTGTCATTAAAATTAAATACATGTAAACATAATCTGGAACATTTTGTATACAAATCAATGAAAAAACGTCTGTATATTAAAAATGGCGATTAAAATTCAATTCAACATGTATCATAATTTTAAATATTTTATCCGAATTACTATCACTTTGTGTAATAATAAATCTACATTTATTGAATAAATACTCAAATGCTATTAGGTCATTTATATGACCTAATAAATTTACAAGTATATCTATCTGAAAGCATAGGCGTACAAGCTGGGGGGGGGGGGGGGCTGGGCCGCCCCCCCATTTTGGCCACCAAATGCTGGGAAAATTTGGGCACACAATATTGTACTTTGTAAAAGTTGTATAAAAAAATATTGCGTTCTTGAATGTGTCCAATTTAACAGTGAATTTATTATTATTATGTAACATACTAAGAACCTAACTACATTTTTTGGGCACCAACCACCAACGCCCCCCCAGTCAAAAAATTTCCCGTACGCCTATGTCTGAAAGTATGATATATTTGTTTTAGAGCCACAGAAAAATCAAATAAACTATTGACTCTCAAATTACCTAATAAGACTACAAACCAGTGATTGCCATGCAAGATACGCCCACATTTTTTGTACAATCAGGGGCCATAATCCAGGAAGTTGCAGTCCGATATGCACAATATAAATTTGAAGTTTCATCTAAATCAGATAAAAATTGTGACGCGATTTTCGTACAATAAGGGGCCATGATCCATTAAGTTATGGTCCGATATGCGCAAATATCTAAAGGAACCAAGAACTTTAGGATATAAACACATATTGTAAGTTTCATCAAAATTGGATCAAAATTGTGACCTCTAGTCTAGAGGGTCCACAACCTTGGTATTACAATTCCAATACATACATGTACATGTACTTTTACACTATTTGTAACATCTAGAGAAATCACAAGCTGAAAACTTGATTTTTCGTACAATCAGAGGCCATAATTCAGGAGAAGTTACGCTCCGATATATACGCAAACATCAAAAGAAACCGAGATCTTTGAGTTATAAACATGTAATTTTAGTTTCATCAAAATCTAGAGGATCCACAACCTTAGATATTACATACTTTACATGTAACACTATTTGCGTACGAAGAGCAGACATTTTCACAAAATCTGAACTCAATCGTCATTTGGGTGTCATGGTTATAAATATACTTTTCAAAAAAAGTAGGGGATATTGAAATGCAAATACCTATGCAGGTTGTGATATGATAAATAGTCATGAACACTTGACATGCTTTGAGAGTATGTTCACAGATGAAGAACTTATAGCCCCAACAGAACCACTGAGCTGTACATGCGACACGCAATAGCGCCATACACGTGGGAGGGGTTCATTCATCATTGTCAAATTTGACACTTCAAGGAAGGGTTGATGACAACTGCTGTGTGCTGGTTTATCCTATCCATGTTTGCTTTCCTTTCAGTTCTTGCATAAGATTTACTCTTTAACATATCTTTGCTTTAGTGTGTTACGTTTAATTTGCAATGAGACTTCTTCAACATGATGAACGTCTACGTGCTATTGGCATGCTTCAAATGGGTTCTACACAGTGAGCAGTAGCCAATAAGTGTAAATGAGCATCATGCTAACGTTAACGTCAGACAGCATGACAGATTTGGGCTTGGGTCTGTTATGGTGTGGGGAGGAATAACCATGACTGGCAGAACGGACTTGCATATTTTTCAAGGAAGGGTCAGTGGTGTGTACTACCGTTGCCAAGTCCTGGCACCGATAGTTCTGCCCTTTGCAGGTAGACGTTTCATCTTTCAAGATGATAATGGGTGTTCCCAACCTGCTTGTTTCGTGAATGACTACCTCAAGCGTCACCATATTGTCCATATGCCTTGGCCAGCCATGAGTCCTGACCTTTTCCCTATGGGACATGGTCGAGAGACGTGTTCATCAACGTCAACGGATAACACTGCAAGAATTGGCCGTGGCACTGCAAGAGGAGTGGGTCAGATTGACCCAAATCGTGATTGGGCGGTTGATTAACAGTAGTGCATATCCACAGTTTTGTATTGTTTCTTAATATCCCCTACTTTTTTATACGCCCACATTTTCATGTGGACGTATATTGTCCTCGCCCCTCTCCGTCCGTCCGGACATCCGGCGGTCCACAATTGTTTGTGAACACTCTACAGGTCACAATTTTTATCCGATTTCAATGAAACTTGAAATATAGGTTTATCACCATAAGATCTTGGTTCCTTTCGATATTGGCATGTATCGGACAGTAACTTCATGGATTATGGCCCCTGATTGTACGGAAAATCACGTTTTTAGCTTGTGAACACTGTAGAGGTCGCAATTTTTATCCAATTTTTTTAAAACTTGAAATATATGTTTATAACCCACAGACCTCGGTTCCTTTCGATATTCGCGCATATCGGACCATAACTTCCAGAATTATGGCCCCTGATTGCACGAAAAATCGTGTTTTTAGCTTGTGGACCCTATAGAGGTCACAATTTTTATCCTATTTAAAAAAACGTTTAATCAGGGGCTATAATCCCGGAAGTTACGATCTGATGTGAGCGAATTTTGAATGGAACATACGTGTTTATTATATTTTAAGTTTCAACAACATCGGATAAAAATTGTGACCTCTAGACTGTCCAAAAACTAAAAACGTGACTTTTCATACAATCAGGGGCCACAATCCAGGAAGTTACGCAGCGATACATGCCAATATCGAAAAGAACAGAGATCTTTGGGAGATAAACCTATGTATATTTTCAGTTTCGTCAAAATTGCATAAAGATTGTCACCTGTAGAGTGCCCACAAACAAATGGTGGATGGACGGACAGAAGTCCGGACATACACGTACAGGGGCGACTTGACGATAAAATACATCCACATGAATATGTGGCCATGTGGGTGTATATAAAAACATTCAAAAAAACAAATTTATTTAGGCAATGATGAAAAAAAGGTTATAAGTTACATCTAGTTAGTGTGAGATAGAAACAATGTCAAGAATGTAGACAGAATCACTAATAGTTCACACACTTTCTTAACAATGACATGACACAGTTTTCTTATCAGTGAAAACACCACATAGAATGTAGAGTAGAACTACATGTAATGTATTCTGTTGTCTGACTAAATATATAGAATCATTAAACTGTAAGTAGCAGTGAAAGTAATAAGCCTATACATGTACTTCAGTTAATGAATAAGTATGCACCTTGAGTCCTTGACCATTATGGATCTTAGTAAGCCAAATTTAAAGAATATTATTTCTTAATAATGTACCTGATTGCCTTAAGCTCACATTGTATGCAAATACGAAATAGATAACTAGTTTTTCACAAGACTTGATAACAGAGAAGAAAAAAGAACTAAATCAATTCCTAACATTTCATTTTTAAAACACATATTCATCCATCTATTGAAACACATACATGTACATGTAGATTACCAGATGATTGAACAATACGGGTCTATGTACTGTAATTATCCAATTCTGTGTTCATGTAGGTCAGCACAACTGGTCAATGATTAGTCAAATTTTAGACACAAATAAATAAACATCCTGTATATAGACAGTTACATGTACATATGTAGCATACGCATACATGTAAGGGTAAAATCTTACATGTAGGTAGGTACATGTACATAAACTTGTAATGCAGATTTTCAATACCAGTATAAAATATTGTAGAAAAAAAACAGCAAGTTATATAAAGTTACATGCATTGGTAATTCAAATTTCATAATTAAGCTCACACTGGCAATCTTACCTTTTCTCTGCACTAAGATTCGAAGTAAGGGTTTGGCCGACCCTATAGCCTTATGGAAATTATCATCGTTATTTATTGGTAACAGATCGCCGTGAACATCTGTATAATTTATAACAAAACCAAGTTCTTCCAGATGATGTAATTTTTGTATTGTAGACTGAAATTCATTGTAGTTGAATTTGTCGGTATTGAATGAGAATCTTCTAAATTCCGCATCAAACTGAAAAAAAAAACCTCATCTTTTTTAGAAATGGAATTCTAAAAAACTACTAAATAAAATCCAAATGAAAACAGATCAATAAGGATATAATTATGTGATAAAATTCTTAAGGTGATGCCCCTGATGTATGTTTATGCATCTTTTTTAAAAACCTATTAGTGTACTGTATGTGCATCTTTAATTTTTGACCAAATAATAGTTTTGAAAGTTCGGGCACATTTATTAATCCGCTATTCGTCTGCACATACATTGTACATGTACTGTATCAGATTTTTTTTGTGTGTTTTTAAACTTGGTTTAAAACCGAAGATTTGATGCTTTAATATGCAAATTCATCTTAATCAATAATTTAATTCTGAGTCTGTCATACACGTATTATGTGTGTATAGACTGATAAAACATTATTATTTGATGGAATAAATATATTGAATTATCAGACAAACTTCTGGCAGTGCCAATGTTTTTGATACACATATACTGTCATATATTCACATCATTCTCATGAAAAACATATTGCTGCATGTGCATGAAAACAGGGAAAGAGCTACATGTACAATATAATTTTCTGACACCATTTCTTGTAATTCAGACAACAATTTTGTCACTAAGGCATTTGTATGGCTGCTTAAAGGGCGTATAGCTCTTCTTTAGGACGTTAAATAGACTAAAATGGGTTGAAAAGCAAATATCAATACATGTAATATGAGTGCATACCTGATTTCAATTTAATTTTTAAAATATTTATTGTAATTTCTAATGCATTATGTTTGGTGAAATACATAAACAGTCCAAAATGAACGACAGTTGTTGGCACCAGTTTAGTCTGGGTTTTAAAAAATTGTGTTGTTGTTTGTGCATTAATTACTCAAGCATTGTCTTCTTGGATACCGGTATGCTTTTCTTTGTTCATTACAAATGACGCTCGAAACAATTATGTACTGATTTTATGCTCACTAAGTCACTGTCCCTTAAATATTGGATATTAGGGTCACGTATTTTTATGGCAAGATAAAAAGGTCAATATTGATTGAAATGTACATGTACCAATATATTCAGTTCTAATTCATGTTTTTAATAAAATTCCAAATGTAATGGAATATATTTAGTTAGAGGTTAGGTCCTTTAAGATTTCATGTATATTGTTACATTAACAAAACAGTTGTAGCCTATAGTAGAAGACACAAAACGTTTAGATGTGTATGTTGGGCGCATTTTTTACCCCTGAGACAGATTTGCAATCTGTGTCCACGGGCGTGTTTTGCACAGTCCACTTTGTCCACATAGATTAGACCCTGCACACGCTGATTGTAATCCGCGCATATCAAACTTGTGCGCAGATTGTCAATTTTGAGCTGATTACTCCTCAATGTTTTCATAGATGAGAGAGAGATAGGGAGAGAGAGAAAGAGAAAAAGGGTTTAACGTCCACTTGACACAAACTGGGTCATTTCGAGACTAACACATGGTTCAATTTTATTTCAATATTTCGCTTGCGCGTTGGGGTCTAAAATCCACTGCACAATTAAATATCCCAACAAATAAAAAAGTTCTGACATCAGGCAATACCAAAATGGAGCCCGATTACGTCACTCTTTGGGGGAGATCATTTCATATGAAGAGATGACAGCATACCACCAGCTCGGTATTGAGTTTGGGCGGTTACACATATAACTGCCCGTATCCCTTTATTTTGTTACCACATTTTTACATTCTAGTAAAAATTAAAATCCGTGTTTATAGATTTTTTTTTAAATATTTTGTTTTAATAATCATTTGAATAGTCGGATAATATAAAGAAGATAGAAAAGTTTTGGTTTAGATATGTTTATTTTTATGAGTATCCGTGCTGGCCATCAATGGTTTCAATATAAATCTTCTATGTAATTGCTTTCTGTTGATATTTTTCGTCAATGAAACGATCAAAACGATCGCGGTTTGTTTTCATTGCAACACGTGGTTGTCGAACTCTCTGTCAAGGTTAAACCATCCCCGCAACAGCCTCATTGGTTCCGCTCAACATGTGACGAAAACAGTGTTGTCTTGTACTCAATCGAAAATATAAGTAAACATGTCAAATTTTTCAAGACAGAACTTTTTTTAATCGTTTGGATATTTAATTGTGCAATGGATTTTATTTAACCGGAGTTGATTTCAAACACACAGGTTCGATTATGAACAAACTATGAGTTTGTAATATCCAAAGTTACATTAGATCTAGTTTGTTCATAATCAAAGAAATCCGTTTAAAAAATAGGAAGGTTCAGACAGTAGATAATCATTTAACAAGCTTTATAAATATGTAAAGTTACTACAGTACAGTACAAAGAAAATTGTCAAACTATGGTAACTATCACTGAAAGGACAATATTGGTGTGTACCAATTTTAGATGTCAGTCTCACTTATTACACAAAATTTCACAGTGGTGACTGTGTCAACAAAATACTAACTCTAGTAACTAACCTATCTTGAATTACATTCACCTGGCTGCTGTTGACTGTATGGTTACACAAAACCACCATTTTATTAACTTTTGCATTGTCGGCCTACAAAGACACCTTTTAATGACTAAAGCACATCGGTAGAAAATGCCCATGGAAACTATATTATCCCTACCGATATAAGGGAGTGTCTAGGCTATATTATGTGCGATGTTTCAGCAGGTGAGAGTTGTGTCACTTATTTACATGTATATGTCGACACACGCACACCTGTGTCTGAAAGTTGTACTTACCTTGCTCTTAATTTCAACAATACCACTATAAGATTTCAATGAGCTCCTTGAATTCTTAGCCATCATTTAGTGGAAGCCCTACATCTGTGTGAGGGAAAATTTTTAACTCCAGAAACTAGCAATGTCCACTAATTTGACCTAGTTTTCTTCTCTGACTAATTTTAGTGACGTCATGGAATAACTAATCTCGAACAAAATTGATTTTATAATTTTCATACACGTACTTCACATTTCTGTACGCACAGAAGATATAATTCAAGTTTAAGTTTCGAAAATAAATGTTAAACTTGAATTTAATATGCTCTTTTTCGGAAATATTAAGAATAGGGAAATAAATAAAAATTACATTAACAATTTTTGAGAGTATTCAAGGGCGGGAATTCTCATGCACTACCTTAATTTGTTGCCAAATTATAACGAAAATTGTATGTAGGGGATGAATATTTCAATCGGTGTAGTTAAGTTCTAAACAAATGTCACTGCCAACTAATTCTAGGCGTGTCACTAGATTAACAAAGGCAACCCCACTAAAACCATGGCTTGTGAAATACATTCAGTGTAATGGAGAAAATCAACAAGCTAATGCTGTCAAAATAATTGAGGTAATTATTATTTAGACAGTTAGCTAAGAACCAACATGTTAGAATAAAAACCATAATTTTGTTTAATAAATTGATAATATCATGGACCTTCTTATAATACATCTATCATATGGTCCATGATAGATAATATCCGGTAATAAATAATCTGATCACTACTCCGTCTGAGTGACTGATAGGTCTACTTGAAGTTTCATTAAAATTAAAGTTACAATTTTTAAAATGTATTAAAATAAAGCCCTAAAATAGATGTTATCTATAAACAGTCCTACCTTGTTAAAGAGACAATAACACTCTTGCTGGCTTGAAAGCTCCAGAAAATAAATAATATCTCTATCTAAGGCGACATAAAAAAAATTAGTTGGTGATCGTCCCCGCCCGCCCAGAAAATTCTACCCGACCAGAATTTTATATTTTCAAAATTTACCTTCTTACGATGTTTAAAACCAATGGTAAAAGTTCCAAAATGTAGCCAGGCTACGAAATTTCCTAATTGCAAGAGTTAATGAAGCGGATATAATTATTGGCACGTGTTCCAATACTCTTCAAATGCGTAGGACTGAATGACATAAACAAATTACGACCTGTTAACGGCAACAATGGCTGACATTTTTGTTTGCACGCGTACAGCACCAAATACAATATTTTGAATACAACATATATACAACCTGGAACTATATGTTAAGATGGGAATACGTCTCGCCGATTCTGAATTACATGAAACAGTCTCTCGAATAAATGCAACAACAGATTTTTTCGGACTCGAATAAATGCAAAAACAGATTTTCGGAATGTCCATGTGGGGGGCATGAATAACTATATCAACCGATTATTAATATTAGTGATAATAAGTCGTTATGCAAAATGTTTTTTTTTTGTGTTTTTTTTTTGGAGGGGGCGGGGGTCGGGCTCTTCTGGTCTTACTATTCGCAAAATACAATATTATGAAAGTTGAATGTCTAAAAAGAATATCAGTCCAAAGACATGATATGAATTGAAAATTTTGCAACATTTGATATCCTGCAACATTAAACCAGTCGGCACCACCTATTTATTTAATTGTTCAGTTATAAATCTCTTTATATCTGATTGAATCCAAGGCGGAATATCTCAAGTTTAAATAATTAATCTGAACAATTCAAATGACGATCATGCAGATGAGTTGTGTTTTAACATGAAATAAAAGGTTAATATTCCTGAAGTATATTGCTTATTCTGTATATTCATTAAAAAAAAACAAAAAAAACCTCCCTCCCTCCCACATTTTTTGAAAAAAAAGGACGATCCCCAACTATATTTTTTTTAAGTGGCCTGGGTACTAAATGTTTAAGTGTCCTACCTGTTGTGTAAATTATCCATTACATCCTATTTTACTTGTCCAGAGGGTTCGAAAATATTTTTAAATCGAAGTTTCATTTTAAAAGGTTTACATTAGACGTTTCAAACCATTATGTTTAATTTTTCAAAATTTTTAAATAAGGTGTGTTAAGATGAAATTTGTATCATCAAGTAATTGAAATATTCTTAAATAGTACAATTTGTTGACTAGAATAAAGATTGGGACATATTATTCAGTTACAACAAGAGTGGTATTGAGCCTTTAAAGAATAATCCTATTAATCCTATAATTCACTATTGCCAGTTGAGAAATTGGCAAAAATATAATTTTCAACTTCAAATTCAAACGTTTGAAGATAGCTATTCCATGGTGGGGAATAGGAAAACAAGGGAGGTAATTGTGTTATTATTTCCAGTGTGAAGATTTTTAAGTGTGAGAAAGGTAACCTATGATCGTATAATAATATAATAGTGAGTTGACAACCTATTGAGCAAAAGACATAGAAATAATTATGTTTTGACTTTCTTAGAAAATATGAAATTGTAACTTTAAAATCTGAGCAATAATCCAGCACGCTTACCTCTAAATTTTGGTGTTTAAAATCATTTTCAGAATAAAGTATTTCCACAATAAAAAAATTATGTCATCCACAATTTTCTCCAAAAATTATCTGAGAACATGTTAACAGCCCAGAGACCACCTCATCATAGACGAAACTATGGACTTATAATAAGGTCCATGACAAAATTGTTTTAGTTTTAGTATTTCATAATTCACAGTTTTTTTTTCCAATGTATGTCTTCACTATTATCAAAGACTTGCTGAGTTTACTATATAAATTACAACAATATTACACAATTATTTGAGGGGTTGAGAAAATTGTAAAATCTGAATGGTTCAATTCCCTTCTTAATTTTCAAATATAGTATGAATTAAAGATTTGTCAACATCATAGACGAAACTATGGACTTATAATAAGGTCCATGACAAAATTGTTTTAGTTTTAGTATTTCATAATTCACAGGGTTTTTTTTCCAATGTATGTCTTCACTATTATCAAAGACTTGCTGAGTTTACTATATAAATTACAACAATATTACACAATTATTTGAGGGGTTGAGAAAATTGTAAAATCTGAATGGTTCAATTCCCTTCTTAATTTTCAAATATAGTATGAATTAAAGATTTGTCAACATTCGATCTAGATCGTCTACAGATGATATAAATAAACGAGATACATGTATGGTAAACATCCAGCACGATCTGTAAGCATTGATAAAATCTTTTGATGGGCCCTTTTTTAAATCTGATTTATTCCAAGCTGTGAGAATAGCTTATGACACAGTTATATGGAATACAAGTTACTTGAAGAGTTTATTTCGGCAACGTTTCGACGAGGGTTCTCCCGTCTTTATCAAGCAAAGAATGACAACCATAGTGCAATGAAGATATATATATACAAAATATACAGTTACTAAATGCCACTTAAACAATTTGTGAGAATAGCTAGCATTGATATTTTGGGGTTTTTTGTTAATTCAATGTTAAATAATCAATTTAGGCACATTTTAGTGTGGATAAAGCTGTGGAAACTTTAATATTTTATGAAAAATGAAAATAATGCCCTGAGACTTCTAAGTTCAGAGATAACTCAAAGTTTATTAGCAAGTGATTTAGAAATGTTTATAGTTAACTTAAGACTGAATTGAGATCTGCTATTTATACAGTAAATGGCTCATATACAATTAGGCTAATACTAAAGCCATAATGTTATTTTCACATCAAATATTTTAATTTCATATCAAAGCCTATGCCATTGAAAATAGTCAAATCCTACACTCAGTTATTTGTAGAATTAGTTATAAAAAACAGATTTACTGCACTACTGTGTCATGGACTAATGAAATGGTTTGGGAACTTTATTGATATCTCAATCAATAAATATTAGCACTCTAGGAAGAACTAGAAGCCTATCAAATTTTATTTATTTCTGATCATTTCTGGCAGTCACAGTATGTTCATGTTAGGAGTGCACGTAAAAGAACCCAAGGTTGACAGTTGCAATTTGATGATAAGTAGTTGAAAATACCGCTGTCCAGGCAAAGATTCCATCATATCACACACTACATGGCGTATGTCCAACTTCATGAACCCTGTTGGTGCAGAAAAGTATGACGCTAAACCTTATTTCATTTTATTTTTGATAATTACTTCATGGCTTGTTACCATAAATCAATTCTTGTAAATGCTCTTAATGTATTACCAACAATAATGGTGCAAATTAGCTGCTGTAGGGCTATGTTTCATTGCCAGACAACCTATCTTTCTTGTATGTAGTGGCTATGTCGGAGTATTGTAATATTATTGCTTGTTTCTGTATACAAGATAAAAGAATTTTTGTATGAAATCAACGTTTGTATTTTATTGTAGTGTATATCAGGACCGGATAGTGAAGGAAATCTACTAAGAGAGGTGACTGATGGAGAAGTCTTTATAAAAGCTGTTATATTAGGAGATGCTATTAAATGCATGATGCAAGAGTAAGTTACTTTTCAAAGATAAAACAATGTGCGATTTTTTAACAAGTTATGATTGGTTTCCTGCATATTTGAGAGTATGCTGACTCTTTCCATAACACTTGATACCACTTGGTATGATCACATAGCTAACAGCTTTGTATTTACCCTTACTTTCAGGTTGAATTTTGCACTTAGGGCATTATATTGTATTATAGTTTTTTCCTTTTCCAATATTAAAATATGTAATTATAAATATTTCTAATTCATTCACTTTTGTCTTAATTAGCCCAATTAGAGCAGAAAAGTAATATGTTTCTGAACCCCATTTCATTCATTCATCCATTGTGATAAATAGTCGATCTAATAAAAAATTAGATGTTATTTTGATTCTGTGGCACTACGGCCTACTCTTATATCGAATTCCAACTGCCAAGGGATCTTTTACGTGCACGCCAATGTGTACACCGGATCTCGGTTTTTCGTCCCATCCGAACGACTAGACAGCTGACGTCCTTGTGAAAACTCATTTTGAGCATGCATGCGAAGATACCCTTGGCCTTGATTGGACAACCAATTCAAATACTTTGATAATCAAAGCCTTTCAAACGATTTAGCAGATTTTTCTGTTTAACAGATTTGTAGGTTGATGTGCAGTCGACCAGTCACAATCTGATCATCACCGAAAACGGTGTTTAACTCCTTAACTGCTTAGGACGTTATATAACGTCCTGGACAACTGTCACTCACCGTGTGTAGGACGTAATATAACGACCTGGAGGTATTTTCCCCAACCTATTCTTCGAACACAATCTTACCATGCGGAAGACGTATTATTACGCCTGGTCGAGGAATCTAATTGAAGGGAGACAACTCTATTTACTGTTAGTTTTATTTTGGTTTAAGACCACTCAAATTTGTATTCAGGAAAAAATAGGCCCAAATATGACGTTTTTCGTCAAATTAATTATGCAATAGGGGGTAGTTAACGTCAAATTAATTACACAGTTAAGGAGTTAAAGAATTTTCTTTAGATCAAGATGAAGTGAGGAAAACAACCAAACAATATGAGTAAATAAACAAAATTTTGGTACACTGTCTAGTACCAGTAATTCGAATTAGATTGATAAACAGAAGGCTCTCATAACCACAACATTTCATATTTCTTTACACTAGTGGTCGTTTGATTATTCTTTTTTAAATGTAATTTGATTTACGTTTTATTCTTTATTTATAATAGTGTTGAAGAAGATATGCCTTCTTGGGATAAAGCACTGATATTGATAAGAAAACACAAACTTAAATTTGAACCAAATACTAGCCAGGTAAATGATGCTTTAGTTATTATTTATTAACTAACAGAATTGGTATCTAGGACTTTACTAATCTCTTCTCAATACTTTAAGAAGCATTACCAATTTACCGGTATGGCAAGAGAAGAAGAAGGAGCTGACCATTAGTTTATGCTATAATAGCTAAAAAAATAGATAGGGGCCTAATAAAATTGAATAGATTGAAAATTTCAGTCAAATTACTTTATTCAGATCGAGGTTATCAATGGCTACGGTACTTTCATCAAGTTGTAGACAGCAGATACAATTTGTGCTACTTATATGATAATATTTTAAAATAATATAATTAACTTATATAGTGTCTAAAATCCAGCCAAGAGCTGCTCGATGGCACTTTACAAAGCTAAAACAATGATATACATACAAGATAAAATATCACACACATAATCACAATTACAGTAAAAGACACAAGGAAGAACATAAAAGCATGGTAGAAAGATTAGAAATAATGTTATAAATTATAATGTATAAGAATAGAAAGCTGTTGATCAACTGTTCTTGTTGTTGTTCTTAGTGCTTAACGTCCGCTACCACCGAAGGTGATATCACAGACAATTTGTCTTATTTTCATTTTTATTATCTTAGTGGAAAATAATAAAAAAAAAACCTATAACACTGTTTTAACACTAGTGTTATTTTTAAATGTTACACTTTGTTTTTGTCTTCTGTTCTAACGCATTCAATTCTTTGCATGAGCTGGCCAACTGAAGAAAAACACACCAAAAGAAAGGTAATTGGGGAAAACTAACCACTTCCAGGATCTAACTAGGATCTATGTTGAATTTTGTAGTCTCGTTTGATCATTATTCAGTTGAAATTTCCTAAAATTTCGCGTAAATTAGCAGGTCTGCGATCAACATTTATTTGTCTTACGTTTTGGCCAGATATGGATAAAAAAAAAATCATTTTAAGTCTTAAAACTAATTCTAAAAACCTTAAAAGAATTCCCTTCTTGCCGTCTGCTGTTTTACACCAGTGTTATAATAAATGACTTGAACTGATATTTTTTTTTAACCCCTAGGGGTTAGTGTTAGAGTAATATTTAACAAGATAATATTAAACAAAAAGTTATTATTATCTAACAAGTTTTTATTATACTCCCACATTGAAATGTGGTCGTATATTATCGTCACCCCCGCCCATCTTGTGGACGCTCTAGATGTCAAAGTTAATATCCGATTGACTTTGAATTTATACACAGTGTTTAAGGTCATAAGATGAAGAAGCCTATTGATTTTCAGGGGTTTCCGATAATTACTGCCAGAGTTATGACCCTTGATCACTTTGAAAAATCTTGTGGACACTCGAGAGGCTAAAGTTAATATCCGATCTACTTTAGATTGATAAACAGAGTTTAAGGTCTTAGGCTGAATAAGAATATTGATTTTGAATACTTGAATAGCTAAATTCATGATATTAAATGTTTCATATACTAAACGTTAGCATCGGGCAGAACTAAAAGCCAAACAAATTCAAATGTTTCATTACAGACAATAGAAAAAATATGCTACAACTCTTGTTGACTGCTCGGACGACTTAGCTGCTGTGGCCGTATGTTTCGTTGCCTGGCAACCAATCTTTACTTTTTAGACTCGATACAGAAATATACTTGAATATATATATTTTATTTACACTTTCATTTATACGAACATGTGGATGTGAACTTTGGGTATATGAACACCCAAATCTTGGTAATTAAACCACAATTCTTTGGAAGACAATTAATGGTTATTACTGAGCTGCACTTGACTAGGATTCTATCAAGTAGATGGTACAGTTTGAATTACTGGTAACAGCTAACTGGAGATATGATGACCTTTAAGCTTCTCTGTTTTAAAGTGTCCTGGTTTATCAAATTCAGTTAATGAAATTTGTTAACCAAATGCCATTGATGCAAGTTAATTTGTTAATAGTTATATTTTTTCAGAAGGCAAGTGAGTTTGTGTTAATTGTTGAGGACTTTAAAGTGTGGGATTTTTTGAGTGGATTTGATATCAAGAAGGATATTTTCCCTTGGTAAGTCAGTCATGATGCATATCGAATCAAAACTTCCTGAATTATAGCCCCTGATTGTACGAAAAATCGCGTTTTTAGCTTGTTGACCCTATAGCGGTCATAATTCTTATCCGATATAAAAAACTTTTGAATATATCACCGTTATACCCTAAGGATGGTTGAGTTCGAATTTCGTAAAAATCGAACCAAAACTGACAGACAAAATGGCCACGCCTCGTAGTCAAATAGCGTAAAAATATGGTATATCAATGTTGTGGACCCTCTGGAGGTCACAATTTTGTGCCGATTTTGATGAAACTTGAAATGCATGTTTATAACCCAAAGATCTTGGTTGCTTTCGATATTCGTGCATATCGGATTGTAACTTCCTGAATTATGTTTTTAGCTTGTGGTCCCTCTAGAGGTCACAATTATTAACCGATTTAAAAACTTTCGAATATATCACTGTTACACCATTATGATGGCTGAGTACGAATTTCGTGGAAATCAGACCAAAATGGCCGCCTCTTGCAGGTAAATATATTGTATATCAAGGTTGTGGATCCTCTAGAGGCCACAATTTTGATCGGATTTTGATGAAACTTGAAATACATAACCCAAAGATCTTGGTTCCTTTCGATATTCGCGCATATTGGATCGTAACTTCCTGAATTACGGCCCTTGATTGTACGAAAAGTCGCGTTTTTAGGATGTGATCCCTCTAGATGTCACAATTTTTATCCGATTTTAAAAACGTTTGAATATATCACTGTTACACCCTTATGATGGTTGAGTCCGAATTTTGTACAATTCGGACTAAAACTGCCGGACAAAATGGCTGCCCCTCGTACGCAAATATTGTAAATATATGGTATATCAGGGTTTTGGACCCTCTAGAGAGAGGACATAATTTTGATCCAATTTTGATGAAACTTGAAATACATGTTTATAACCCAAAGATCTTGGTTCCTTTTAATATTCATGCATGTTGGATTGTAACTTCCTGAATTATGGCCCTTGATTGTACGAAAAATCACTTCTTTTTGGATGTGGTGTAGATTGGTGAGAGAAGACTTCCTATTGATTTGCACTCACAGATATTATGAATTATGCCCCAAATGATGCAGGTGTTTTGCTGCTTGGCAGCTTGTTAGCATCTTCTTTTCTATGGTGAAAATAAATATGTATTGTCATCTATTTCAGCATGCAGAATGCAAGTGTTCAAATCAAGATACAAGAACACTGGAAAACATGGAGGTATGGTTTATGATCTAAATCTTATCTAATAGGCATTTAGTAGTTGAACAGTAACACCCAAAAACTATTTATGGAATAACAATTACTGGTTTTTGGACATTTTATTCTTAGAAAAAAAAACACCATTGTCAAGTAGTTAGGTGGAGTTGTAGACAGCTTTCACTTGGTCCTTGGATACAACATGTACAGTGACACCTTCCTGTGCCACTTCCGTTATTTTGTTATCAGAATCCCTGAAGAGATTTCAACCAACTGTTTGTGACAGTAGTATAGCGTACATTGGTAGATGTCACAGATTTAGATTTGTATGAATAATTTACGTATAGCGGGAACCAGAGAACTAAATGCTACTACCCTAAAGTGTTAATGAGATAATGTCTTTTCTGATTACTCATATTCTTATTAAGTGACATCAACCCCATATTAATGTCCTTGGGTCCCTTGTGATTGTATTGTTGAAATGGTTCCTGTTTTTTAAAATTTATTTATATGTTTCAGAGAATTTCAATCTATTATGAACAAAACAAAGGCTAGTCAGAATATGACGTGTGATAGTACGGTTGGTTCACAGACAATGTTATCATTATTAGCTGATATGGGACAAGTTACTCAAAGTCAAAGTGAAGTAAATGATACCCCAGAAGTGGAACCAATTGATATCACAAATAAAAACTTATCACAACAGAATAATAGTAATTCTGGTAAATATTTAAATATTCCACTACTCATTACATGGTTATCTCCCCTGACCACTAATTGACACTTTTTTATTCCACCTGATGATAAATGACTACCAGTGTCTGAATTCGAAACAATCCAAGCAAGATGATTTAAGTTTTCAAATCTTCATCAGCAGTGCATTTACAAGGTTTTTGACAGGAGCAGTACATCTGTGAGAAATCAACTTGCAGGTTTTAAAAAATGTTGGAAATTATAATCTTATTGTGGAACATGGATATCAGATTGATATATAATTGTAGGATTATTTCAGTATGGTAGTATGAATTTTAACATAATTACAGCATATTTATCCGAGAGAATTATAAGAAGGAACCTACATATATTAAAGCAAAGAATCATTCTAACTTTCTCATAAATTTATGTGGAAACATCAATGCTGTTTTTAAAACTTTTATTCAGTTGAAGAATCTCCACATGTGAATAGTGATGGTTCATCTGGTCCCCCAGTTACATTTCCTGGTCCTACATTAATAGATGAAATATCTACGTCACATGGTAAATCAAATAAAGTACAACACAAGTCTGCAATAGTTATTGACAGTGAACAACCCTCAACCTCTGGCATACAAAATTTGAAGATTACTGGTGTATCTACCAACAAAAATCCTTCTCAAACAACAGACAGTCAAGAGGTATGTATAGTTTGTCAGCAATTTGACCAATCAATAATGATTTAAGCAACCATTTATCAGATTATCACTACAGACATATGAAAGTGTAATTTTTTTCTAATAATTCACGGATGGCTTGCAATATCTATGTGTTTGTCTTATAGTGTTTAAAAAAAATATTTACATCTCAATAAAAAGTATTTATTTGAAATCAAATCATATGAAAATGTATATTTTTTTAAATTACAGATCGAAAACTACAATTTCAATTCTGTTCAGGTTAATGCACTTGAGTTTTCCTGTTCATCATCATCTGAAGACAGTCTCGAATCTGGTGATAACACACAGAGCAAAAAATCTACTAAACTGAAAAGGGGAGAGTGTGCAAAAAATAAATCAAATGTGATTGAAAAAAGCTCAGATGAGAAAAATTCAAAAAAGAATGCTGTTAGTGAAGATAGTGATTTGCCAGTAAAAGTTGCAGCATTTGTGTCAGAAAATGATACTGAGAATAACAAAAGTAATGTGTCCTCAAAATCAGAAGTCATTAAGAAAGAATCACCTTTATATTTAGATTTACTGACAGACTTTCAGGAAGATTCTATTATTCATGTCAGTATAGTAATAGATGACGAATCTTTTAGTTCTGGTGATCATGATCAGTCAAGTTCAAATATCAAAATAGAAATGCCACCTGATTCTCCTCCTGTCATTGGTACTCAAGCATTCACACCACAACTAAATCATCCTGATGATCTCATATGTGGAACACAGCCATTTACCTGCCAACATCAGGAACCTATTATACAAGAGACCAGTGATACAACATCTGTTGGACCAGATTATTGGATTAAAAGTCTGCCCAATAAACAATCTGACATTTTCTCTATAGATTCATCTGGGACAAGTGTTGAGTCTCGCTGTCATGATCTGAAAAACTCTGTCAGTTGCAGTCAATCAAAGACTTCCAGACTTTTTGGATCCAAAGCTGTTAAATCCAAACCAAAACGGTCAAATAGAACTGCAGATGATTCAATTGATGTTTATCAGTCAACACAAAATAAAACTGGTAGCAAAAAAAAGATTCCACAATTTCCAATATCTCCAATACGGGACAGTGAACTTGATCCAGAAAGTTTGAACCCATCATCTAGATCCGTAATAGAAGAAACAGATGAAAATCTTATATTTGATGTGGAATATGAAGAAGAGCAAAGGTTAAAACAATTAACGTCTGTGTCTAAAAGGCCTAACACAAGATCAAATAAAAGAACTATGTCTGATTCTGAAGGAGCTTCTCTATCTAAGAAATCAAAATTGTCCTCCAGTATGGACAAAAATAGGTATAGTGATACTGATTCACAAGAACTCATTAATATTTCGAATTCAGATTTATTCTCAAAGAATTCCTCTAGCAAAAGTGATAACATATCGTTTTCGGATTCCAAAAAGACATATGATGATAATAATAAAACACATTTATCAAACACAAGTTTGAAAGAAAAAGAATCTGTCGAAAGTAGAGAACATTCTAATCAAGTAGGTGAATCACATAAAGTTATTGTTATAAATTCACAGGAGATGGATTGTAGGGAGGTAGTGAGTTCCCAAAAAATAGCTTGTGTAAGTAGTGAAAAAAAGTGCAATAAAAATTCAAAAATATTGTCCAAAACTGGTTCGGGTTCAGATAGGAATCTAAGAAATCACAGTTCATTTAAAAATAATTCCAGTGAACATTGTGAGAAAGATGATATAGTTCATGATGTGGTCGATTCTCAGGATATTATTGTCATAAGTTCTCAAGAAATGGACAATGAAGGAATGTCAAAAAACCCTAAAATTAATCTCAGTGATAGTGAAAATAATTCTTCTATAACAAAGGTTGATAAAGAGACTATATCAAAACAAAAAGGTGAATTATTGATTTCAGAAAAAGGAGGTTTTAGTGCTGATTCTAAGAAATCTCAAAATAAAGTTGAGGAAAATAGGACTTTCATTGTGGAAGAATCATCTTTAAATAGACCTTCATCATTAAATGATGAAGATGCAGAGAGGATGGAAATCAATTCAGATAATTGGGATAAAAGTGATGAGCCTGTAATCTCTAAAGCAAAAGGTAAACATTTACACCAACTTCCAATAGAAACTATACTAAGAAAACCTTATTAGTATATAAACCCTATTATAAATTCGATAAGGGAAATGAACTGGTATTTAAAAAGAATTACAACCAATATATCGGATGATGTCAAGTTCATTCTATGTTGAATTTCCATATATATTTTTTCAACATTGGTATAGTTTATTTTGGATTTCAGTATATATTCAAAGACAATTAACTGTTCCTAAAATGTAAAGAATATTCCACTTACCAATGTAGGTATTAGGAACTATAGACTTATCACAGATAATAATAATTAAAGACATTTCTTTCCAAAATAAACTCACCTAACATGATTGTAGTTTTAAGATGTATGTACATGTATAAGCAAAATGTTATACATGTATTATTGACTAATTGGATAGATACAGTACAGTATGTAATGGAAGGTGATTTGAAAAGTACATGTTCAAAAGAATGAATTTTTTCAGGTTCTGGTCCTCAAGCTAAAACTTCACAGAAATCATTACCTTTATTTGAGGTATATATACTTTCTAATAATATATAATTTCAAATATTTTACTTACTGAGATCAGATATTGCTGTCAGGGACAAATATGTGGATTATTTTACTCTAGTAATAAATACAAGATAGTATTATATAACAAGGGCCTCTCGGCCAATATCATTGGTAAGATGAAGCTTTTGACATTTGTATTGTTATGTGTGAAATGCCCCCTTGTCTTCACCAGCAAACAAACCTTGTTTTTCGCCCTTCATTGACTGACCTGGGCAGATTTTAATACTAGACTTAAGTCCTACCTTCCTTATCCTTTCTTTTATTAACAGATCTGCAGCAAATTATATGAAGAACCAATAACAGACTTACAGAGAAAACTGTTAAATTTTAAACTGGACAAAAATACTCTAGAAGACGTACATCGTGTCATAACAAACAATTAATTACCTAAGGTAACCATTGATTGGGTAATATTTCCAATGTTCTGTAAAGACTACTTTGATGGCCGAATGGTTAGCACGTGCTTGTTGTATCATAAGGTCTGTCATTGAGTCAACTGGCGTGGTTTCCATTCCCGGAATGTACATGACAAGGAGTAGGGTAGCCTGTCCAACCTTGTGGGTTTTCTCCAGGTCCTCTGGTTTCCTCCCACTGCTAAATACCCCTATGCGCAAGCAAATTATTGAAATAAAATTCAAGCAGTTTGTATCAAGTGGACATTAAACACCATTTCTCTCTCTGTGTAAAAACTATATTTTTTGTTCTAAATGGATATTTTACATGGTACTTGCAGGAAAGTCCATTGTGTCTAAACTATCCTGAAAATTCTCAATCACGAATCAGCGTCGACGCCCTACTGCCAGCCAGCACACAACCTTAAAATTAATGAGCCCTCTTTAGACCAGAGCTAGGGTAAAAATGCGGGCCATCATCCCAGTGGCATGATTAGTCTTTATTTAACCTAATTGTACCACCTTTGTAATGGTTTATAAATAGTCCCTAACAGCACGATTGGACGACACTTGTCGGTGGAAGTGGATGTCAAGCATGTGTGAATAGTGCACAAAGAGGGTCTGAACTAGGGAGGTACTGTAGATAGTAATTCCGTAGTACTTAACAATTTTAGTTCAGGGTGAAATGTCTCCGAGAATTTTTACAAAAAAGGCATTCTGGATTATAGCTCTGTCTGTTGGTATTATATAATAGGTGTGGTTGGATTTTACTGAGGTATTCCACTTGTACATTTATGTGTGGAAAATGACTTCCAACCCCACCCAGCAGGTCCCCGGGTTGCCATTTGGCATTTTGAACTCATAAGACGATTACAATCAAGAGTTCATATATTTTTAAAAATTATTTTTCTATATTACATACATCTTTTTCATTATCTATGTTGTTGATTCTATTTAAAGTAGTCAATTTGTGTAAAGTCTTGATATTATCAACTAAAACAAATACAATTTTTAAATCACATTCAAATAATTTTATTATGTACATGTATGCATTTATATGTAAATGTAATGTCTGGGAGAATAGAGTTTACCAGATCTTCGTTAATAACTTCCAAAGAAAAAGATTTATTAAATTTGTATGTATTTTAATATATACATTGGAAAAACATTCTATAATTTATTAAATTTGTATGTATTTTAATATATACATTGGAAAAACATTCTATAATTTTTTTTCTAATTTTTTTTATGGTTTCATTTGGCCCATTTTCCATAACCTGGTTTGATTCCTCTTGTATTAATAACATCGACAACTACATGATGTTTAAACTCATTCCATTCTCTCTTTAATTCTTGTTGCATATATTCTTCATGTATATCATCCTGAAATATTCATATATTATATATATTTATATATGTAAACAAATCATTTTCATTACTTAAAGCAACCTTATGGTTACAATGTGCATACAATGTCACTCCCACTTTGATGTGGTTCAAAAATAAAAATGTCAACTTAATTGCATTTTATGTTGATTTGTAAGATGTCAGTTTGGATGAAGCTAATATTGTGATTGCGTGTTCAACAGTTTAAGCCAAAAATAAACTAAATATAGTTAAAGATACATTATTAGAGATTAGATAAAGAGCTGGCAGTTCTCACTATAATAGTTAAAAACTAGATAATGTAAATAGAGTTTGCTGAAAATTTCCGTCAAATTGATCCACTCTGAACCAAGAATTTAACGATTGAATTTTGGGCCTAGCCTCGATCATCATTACTAAAGTCGGTACGATAAAAAACATAGTTTCGATTATCCACTTTTTGATTTATTCATCAATGAGCGTTGAGCAGCAGATCGGATTCTAATTCAGTAAATATCGCAGGCTAGCGATGACATCGAGGGTTGATTATTGTCTGGATAAGTTAATAAATGTCTAATTAATAATTTAGATAACATTTCAGGCCTAAAGAGAGACCTGCAATAGGCAGATTTAGCTCTTGCATAAAGTACATGTATGTTTAGCCAACTATCTTCTGATCAATCCTTTTTGCGAACATTTAACCAAATAAAGTTTTTCCCATTAGTAATCAAAGACCACAACATACCAACCCAATTTAACACATTATTTTAACCTAAGTCAAAGTTGTTTAGCTCCTTTAAATTGCAAAGGTTTCTTTTTAACTGTAAAACAAGATTTTACATAAGTGAGGTGCAGACTTCATTATGTCTGTTAAAATATGCAAACCTATTTCATCATACAACAATTATATCCACATACCTTTGTCAAATTACCAAATAAATGTGTATTGGATTGTTTAAATAATTGTACAGTTACTTCATCCAGTTCTGTAAAATATAAAAAATAACAGTAATTATTAAAAAAAAAAGTTTTTTCATATGTACATGTAGCTCATTATTGCTAATATCATAGCTGATTATTTAAAAACTTCTAAATATGAATAACTTGTTTATTAATTATTACATATAATAAAATAATACAGCATAATATGTGTATTATGGGGGTGGGGCTAGGTGGCCAATTGGTTAACGTGTGTATCATAAGGTCTGTCATTGAGCAGGGTCGTCTGTCCAACTTCGTGGGTTTTCACCGAGTCCTCCGGTTTCCTCCTACTGCTTTATAAAGACCCCTATGCGCATATGAGTCCCGAAATGATCTAGTTTGTGTCAAGTGGATGTTAAACTCCATTTTTCTGTTTCTCTAGTGCTCACTACTGACTTCAGTTAAAGTGAATCGTTGTTAGTTACATACATTAATCATACATTTAAGCACATTTTATACTGTGATTTTATCATATTTTTTCTCTTATAGATTGTCAGATCCTTGAAATATGATGTATTAAATTTTAATCCTGTACTCTACCTTTCACAGATATACAATTGTAACAATTTGATTTAACCAGCGGCTGCCAGGCAGGATACGCCCACATTTTGCAAGAGATGGAGAGAGAACAAGCTAAAAACAAACGGGATATTATGGTCTGAAATGCGCAAATATCAAAAGGGACTGAGATCTTTGGAATATACAGATATGTTTTAAGTTTTATCAAAATCGGATAAAAATTGTGACCTCTAGAGGGTCCACAACCTTCGTATTGCATACTTTTACACAATTTGCAGACATTTTGTCGGGCAGTTTCATTTCGATTTTCCCGAAATTCGAATTCAACATTAATTATGGTGGAATGGTGATATATTTAAACGTTTTTTAAAATCTGAACTCAATCAAAATTACAGTGTAACGGTGATATATATCGAAAGGAACCAATATCTTTGGGTTATAAACATGCATTTCAAGTTTCATCAAAATTGTGACCTCTAGAGCGTTCACAACTTCGATATACCAGATGTTTACACTAATTGTGTATGAAGGGCGGCCATTTTGTCCGGCAGTTTTGGTCTGATTTTCACGAAATTCAAACTCAACCAAAATTACGGTATAACGGTGATATATTTGAACATTTCTTTTAAATCAGATAATAATTGTGACATCTAAAGGGACTCAAGCTAAAAACGCGATTTTTCGTACAATCAGGGGCGATAATTCAGGAAGTTATTATCCAATATGCGCGAATATCGAAAGGAACCAAAATCTTTGGGTTATAAACTTACATTTCAAGTTTCATCAAAATCCGAAGAGAATTGTGACCTCTAGAGGGTCCACTATATAGATATACCATATTTTTATGCTATTTGAGTACGAGGGGCGGCCATTTTGTCTGTCAGGTTTGGTCCGATTTCTCCGAAATTCTACCTCCACCATCCTTAGGGTGTAACGGTGATATATTCAAACGTTTTTTTTTAAATTGGATAAAAATTATGACCGCTATAGGGTCCACAAGCTAAAGACGTGATTTTACATACAATCAGGGGCCATAATTCAGGAAGTTACAGTCCGATAAGTGCAAAAATCGAAAGGAACTGAGATCTTTCGGTTATAAACTTATTCTTGGTTTCTTTCGATATTCGAGCATATCGGATAGTAACTTCCTGAATTATGGCCCCTGATTGTATGAAAAATCATGTTTTTAGTTTGTGGTCCCTCTAGAGGTCACAATTATTATCCGATTTAAAAAAACGTTTGAATATATCACTGTTACACCGTATGTGTATTGAGTTCGAATTTTGTGAAAATCAGGCCAAAGCTGCCGGACAAAATGGCTGCCCCTCGTACACAAATAGTGTATATCATCTGGTATATCAAGCTTGTGGACCCTCTAGAGGTCACAATTTTAATCCGATTTTGATGACAGTTGAAATACATGTTTATAACCCAAAGATCTTAGTTCCTTTCGATATTCGTGCGTATCAGATCGTAACTTTCTGAATTATGGCCCTTGAATGTACAAAAAAATCACGTTTTTAGCTTACCGTCCATGTAGTGGTCACAATTTTTATCCGATTTAAAAAAACATGTGAATATATCACCATTACACACTAAGATCTTGGTTCCTTTCCTTTTGATAATCGCTTATATCCGAACGTAACTTCCTGGATTACGGCTCCCGATTGTTCGAAAAATTGCATTTTTAGCTTGCAGATTCTCTAGAGGTCCCAAATTTTCTTTCCGATTTTAAAAACCGTTTAAATAATTCACCATTCCACCATAATGAAGGTTGAATTCAAATTTCGGGAAAATCGAAATGAAACTGCCCGACAAAATGGCAGCTCTTTGTATGCAAATTGTGTAAAAGTATACAATACGAAGGTTGTGGACTCTCTAGAGGTCACAATTTTTATGTTCCAAAGATCTCAGTCTCTTTTGATATTTGCACAGTTCAGACCATAACTTTCTGGATTATTGCCCCTGATTGTAGAAAAAATCCTGTTTGCTTTTAGCTTGTTCTCTATCCATCTCTTGCAAAATGTGGGCGTATCCTGCCTGGCAGCCGCTTGTTTGATTTAATTATGAATGGAAGTTGAACAGCAAATAAACATCCAATAAACATCGCAGGCTAGCGATGCCTTCAAGAGTTGATTATTGTCTGGATAAGTTAATTAATGTCTAATTAATAATTTAGATAACATTTCAGGCCTAATGAAAGACCTGCAATAGGCAGATTTAGCTCTTGCATAATGTATGTTTAACAGAGATCTATTTGAACAAAGAACTAATTTAATATACATGTAAACCTGTGGACTTGTTTGTATCGTATTATTAATGTCTTGTAATTGTAGAACAATTACGAAATAAATACTATTTAAATCAACCAATGTTTTTAAATTGTGGAACTTTTACAAAATAAATACCATGTAAACCAACAGTAAAAATATATGTTGTGATAGGAAAACATTGAAATCATATACAAACACAACTTTATGGATAAAAATCACTAGCATCTTTAAACATACATTATGCAAGGGCTAAATTTGCCTATTGCAGGTGTTTCTTTAGGCCTGAAATTTTTTCTAAATTATTAATTAGAAATTAATTAACTTTCTCCGATATTAAATAGATTAGAACAGTTCAACCATATTTTGATTTAAGCTAAAAATGGAGACGCAAGACTTGGCTCCGAACAGCCAGTACGGTGGTTGAAATTATTGCACACGTCTTGTCAAGACTTCAAAGGCTAATAACTTCGCTCGCAATAGACTAATTTGAATGTTATCTATTTTCGAACTATTAGTATTATAGCAAAAATGGCTAGCTCTTTATCTAAATCTTACATAATGTATCTTTAATAGTGCAAAATTTCAACAAGTTTCCTCAAGCACAAGATAAACAATAATATGATACAACCAGCGGCTGCCAGGCAGGATACACCCACATTTTCAAGAGATGAATAGAGAACAAGCTAAAAAGAAAGTGATTTTTCCTACAATCAAGGGCCATAATTCAGGAAATTACAATTCGATATGCGCAAATATCGAAAGGAATCGAGATCTTTGGGTTATAAACTTACATTTCAAGTTTCAACAAAATCGGATAAAAATTGTGACCTCTATACTATATGGTCCACAACCTTGATATACCATATTTTTACGCTATTTGAGAACGAGGGGCGGCCATTTTGCCTGTCAGTTTTGGGCTGATTTTCAAAAAATTCGAACTCAGCCGTCCTTAGGGTGTAACGTTGATACACTAAACGTTTTTTTTAAATCGGATAAAAATTATGACCTCTATAGGGTCCTCAAGCTAAAAACGCGATTTTTCCTACAATCAAGGGCCATAATTCAGGAACTTACAATTGGATATGCGCAAATATCGAAAGGAACTGAGATCTTTGGGTTATAAGCTCACATTTTAAGTTTCAACAAAATTGGATAAAAATTGTGACCTCTATAGGGTCCACAACCTTGATATACCATATTTTTTACGCTATTTGAGAACAAAGGGCGGCCATTTTGTCTGTCAGTTTTGAACTGATTTTCACGAAATTCGAACTCAGCCGTCCTTAGGGTGTAACGGTGATATAATAATACGTTTTTTTAAATCGGATAAAAATTATGACTTATTTAGGGTCCAAAAGCTAAAAACGCGATTTTTCGTACAATCAGGGGCCATAATTCAAGAAGTTACGGTCCGATATGTGCGAATATCGAAAGGAACTGAGATCTTTGGGTTATAAACTTACATTTCAAATTTCAACAAAATCAGATAAAAACGTGATTTTCGTACAATCAGGGGCCATAATCCATAAAGTTTTGATCCGGTACATGCCAATATCGAAAGCAGCCGAGATCTTTTGGGGATAAACCTATATTTCAAGTTTCGTCAAAATCGGATAAGAATTGTGACCTGTAGAGAGTCCACAAACAATTGTGGACGTCCGGACGGACAGGGGCGACGGCATAATACGTCCACATGAAAATGTGGGCGTATAAAAATAAATTGGGAAGAAAATTTCTTCATATCAAATTCCCCAAACGATTTTTTTTAGAGGAAAACTTTATTAATATGTTATCAAAAATTTCTGTGCCTACCTTGTATTCTTTCTGGTTTAATAATACCCAATTCAACAGCACTAGCTGTTACTATAGAACAGGACATAGGTTCTTTTAATAAAACACTTAGCTCAGCAAACGAGTTTGAAGCACCTAGTTTTCCAATAACAACCTGTTTAGATTTATGTTCCTGTAATTATGAACAATTTACAGTTACTTGATAGAACAAGTATGATAGAACTTTATGGTCCAGGAACCAAGCATGACATTATTACCGCCATCTTGGAATTTTGACGTCATATCAAAAATCAAAGTCCAGCTATCGATGTCACAGGAAAAAAATATGCCAAGTTTCATGTTGATCGTACTTGAATTGGCGAAGAGCTTTGTCCCCAAAAAAATAGAAGAACAAGAGCTTTGGGGTTGTAGTAAAATAAGTTACAATAATTCTAATTTGAATTGGCTCAGAGTAAAATATATTTCCATGATAACATATAACTTACCTTTTGACCATTCTTCAATGTTTCTAATACTTCTACTTGTCTTAAAACATGACAATCACCACATTTTATAAATGCAATGAATGGTGACTTATAACTTTCACTTACTAATACTGAAATATAAAGAATTTTAACCTGTTATTTATTTGGCCAAAATTCAATAGTTGTATAAATGTTTACATACATTTTAAGATGAATGCTTGGGTTTCTCCATTAGGCTATTGCAAGTATGATTATATAGTGAACAAGCTAAACAAAAACCCATTTTTCATAACTATCAAGGGCCATAATTTAGGAAGGTACGATCAGATATGTGTGAATATCGACAGGAACCAAGATCTTTGGGTTATAAACATGCATTTCAAGTTTCATTAAAATTGGATCAAAATTGTGACCTCTAGAGGGTCCACAACCTTGATATACCAGATGTTTACACTATTTGCGTAGAGGGGCGGCCATTTTGTCTGGTAGTTTTCGTTTGATTTTCACGAAATTCAAACTCAACCGACATTACGGTGTAATGGAAATATATCTGAACATTTTTGTAAATCAGATAATAATTGTGAACTCTAGAGGGACCACAAGCTAAAAACAGGATTTTTCGTACAATCAGGGGCCATAATTCAGGAAGTTACGATCCGATATGCGCAAATATCCACAGGAACCAAGATCTTTGGGTTATAAACCATCCTCGGTATCCCCAGTGGTTTTATTCCGTTCTACTCCACTAACCCCTGGGTTAATCTATGGGGGAGACACGTTTTCAAATTATTCGCCCTTGATGTTTGTGCTATTTTTATCGACCAATCCCATGCATCGTTAATTGAAAAGGAAGTTGGCAAAGGTAAGTAACTCTCATCGGACAATTTTACGAGTTAGCCTAAATGAGAGAAGTTCAAATTATTCTAAATGCGTACTTACTAACAACAAATTATATAATATGAAATTAATGAAGACCGGACCAAATTGCCAAGTATAAGTTCAATAATAATAAACATAACAGAATGAAACATTTCAGATAAAGAACGAATAGTAATAATAATAACAAAAGTCAAACATATAGATGTTATACATATATTTGAAATCAGCGAAACATACTACATATTTTGATAATACAATTAATTATAAATGAATTTGAAATATATACATTATTTACATAAATAATTCAGTAAATGGACATGAATTTGGTTAATTACCCTTATAAAGTCGAAGGTGAAACGACTGGTTTGTAAACTGTTTCTTGATTGGTTCGTAGACCTTATCTACAATCAAGGCTAGGGCAGATAATTTGAAATCGTGGAAACCCTATGGATTAACCCAGGGTATAGTGGAGTAGAACGGAATGAAAACACTGGGGATACCGAGGATGGTTATAAACATGCATTTCAAGTTTTATCAAGATCTTTGGGTTATAAACTTACATTTCAAATTTCAACAAAATCAGATAAAAATAGTGACCTCTATAGGGTCCACAAGCTAAAAATGCAATTTTTCGTACAATCAGGGGCCATAATCCATGAAGTTACGGTCCGATACATGCCAATTGTAACCTGTAGATTGTGGACAGACGGACAGGAGCAACGACAATATACACGTCCACATGAAAATATAAAAAACAAAATTTGAATTACCTGTATTAGGTGTATATTTCATCCATTCTATAAGATTAGCCACTTCTAATAAAGGTTGTCTAGGCCAGTTACTATACTGACTACATGATAATATTAAGTTTAACTTTTCTGTGTGTTCTTTCTGTTTAATTTGCTGTTAAAATATACAGTTATTGAACAAATTATCTTGTGAGTAATATAAATGCCAGTATTAACTGGACTGTTGATTGTAAATAAGATTACATCTTGATAAACTTAAATAAATAAGTTCAGTATGGGATCAATAACACCCCAGACCCCCGAAAATATGGTACATACATTGTGTGTTCATATTTTTAAAAAAGTAACTACCAAGATGTCAATGTATTTTGCACAAATCTGTGTTATACTGTTTACATGGATTGTAATAAATCAAATGATAGAAAATGTGTTTACATAATGAAATTTAAAAAAACATCAGTCTTAAAGGAGCTAAATCGCTAACATTTGGGACCTAGAAATTGACAAAAGTGGGTCGCAACGCATATAATACTGTAATATGAATGTATATAAACCGATTTACATTCAATGGTTTCCGTTTTTACTCCAATTTCAAATCAGTTATGTTCGGTGAAATAAGACAGCAGGCTCAAGCGAGTGCAAATTTCTAGCGTCTGGTTATTCCAGTCTACATAAGCCGTTTGATTTGGTGCAATGTGTCTAGCCTCGTCCCTTGAGTCTCTTGATACAACTGGGGCTGAAGCGCATTATGGTACACGATTCGTGTACCAATGGTAAAATGTTTATTTTGTCTTAAATATTGGATATCAAAAGCCCATCTTTTTCCGGTAAGATCACAACATCAACGTTGATTTAATTTGACAAATAAATCGTGTTTTCAATGTTGAAGATTTTGGATGATATTCAGTTAGAGACTTAGCTACTTTAATTTCCATTATATTGCTGTGCTCTCATAACCGAGTGTCATAAAACCCTATGTTTATACTATAGTTTTACTTAAGTTGAACAATTTCAAAATACCTCCATAACTCTTTTATAATCGGATGTGGAAATTTTCAGGAATTCACAGTTAGCTTCGAAAGTTACAACACTTAATTCTCTGAAAAATATGTTAATTAGATACAACAGCAGAGTAGAAAGAAGTTACATTTTATCCAAGCCTTTATTTAATATAGATACTCTCCGATATATCCACAATGCAAATAGATGTTTTATCAGAACGAATTGACACAATAAAGTGTACAGGTATCTGTTAGACCATTTGGTCACCTAAACCCCAAATTTCGTTTAATTTGACACCTTCAGAGCATTGAGGAACAATAGAAAATGAAAGTATAATATAGATAGTCTACATGATTCAGTCAAAGTTTGGTTATGTAACCCTTGACGTGTCCTCACAACTGTATGGAGGGAAGGCCATTGAAAATATAAAACATTCAACAAATTTAGATTTATATTTTAATCAGACTGATGTGTTTAGAGAAATTATCTCATATATTTAGCAAGAATAATAAATATGATTTCTAATTATTTTAAAAAGATAATTACTTGCAGGTGGGGTCTTTTCCTTCAAGTTTCTTTAGGGTACCAAAGCACTGCCCAACAGATAGCTGAAATAAAAATTCGAAAAACCTAAACTTTAAGAAATTTTAAGCAATGATTTGTTCAACACATTTATGAAAGGCATCAAGAAATTTTAAGCAACTGATTCGTTCAACACATTTATGAAAGGAATGCATTTTTTTTTAGATATAATGATCGATACCAGTCTAATCAAAATACTGTTCAGGCCATAAAGTTTACAGATATCACATTAGTAGATAAAAGTCTTCCCATGGTTTATTGAACTATATGAGAAGATATTGATCAGCTGTGACCCATGCATGAAATATAAACGGACAATCATTTTAGTGCCACAAGGCATGAAATATAAAATAAGCAATATCATTTATGTCATGGTTTCATAACTGAACTAGCCCTCAATATCCATGAATTCAGATCTAAGAATTATGACAAGTACATCTGTGTTTTAATCAGTCTGGATTGAAACTAAACCCAGTGTTTGATTATTACATCAGCCACAACTTGTAATATAACTTTGGGGAAGACGCTGTTGATTTGGTGACTGTTTAATATTTTACCTTAACGGTATCAGGTTCGTTGTTTTGTTCCACATCAGTAGAGGAAGATAAAGATGTTAAAGTTGATTCTTCTCTCTCTGTTATCAAATATGGATTAGAATCAGTCTGAACTGATCCTTTTAATATTAGATGTAAACCTGTATTACCAAATACTGAAAAACGTTTTTATAATATGATAACCAATTTAAATATTTCATACCAGAATTTGAAAAGTAGAACATAGAAAAGGCTAATTGGATAATAGTCCATCCTATTCTCAGTTGATTTCAAATCTCTTTTCTCACTATCATAATCAAATTTCAAATTACAGACTTTTTGGAAATTTCTGAACAAAAAAAAATATATCTGTACAATAAATCAGTAAATAAATGAAATTGATTTACTAGAATATATATATAATTATTTACCTGCAAAATCACTGTCCTTCCAAACCTCTAGTTGAGCAACTACACAAAGTTCTTTTAAAACATTTGGTGTCAAGTTTTCAGAAAAATATGGAATATTTTTCAATACTGAACAAATTTTGTCGTTTTCAGCAGACATTCTCTCAAATGGTCTTAAAAATAAAATCAATTATGGACGTTCGTTATATGAATTCTGTGTAAGATAATATTATTTTAACAAAATGTCATGTTTTATTATCAATTTGAATATCCACTTACAGTTTTCGTAACAATTTTCTCAGTATTTTTACATTCTCTATTCGAAAAGCTTTTTGGTGATCACTTGATCTTCTTTTATGGTATGGTACTAAATAATCTCTAATATCATGAGAAAATTCTTTTTCTTTCACAGGTAAAATAGATTTCTTCTCGCTGTTGGTTGTTGGCCCTGCAATTATATTATATGGAAACTGTGATATTTCTAGTTTATACCTACTCATAATTTTGGTATAATTTCAAACAAATCACCAACTACTGTTTATATGTTTACGTCTTATTAGTCATACAAAAAAGGGGGGGGGGGGCGTTGAAAGGTCCAACGCATTCGCTTTAGATTATCATGTCGGTCATTGAGTCAAGTGGTGTGGTTTCAATGCCAAATTTGTACATGCCCAACCTCTTGGATTTTCTTTACTTCAATTAGAAACTAAACGTCGCATCACATTCTCCTTAGAAGGCGTTTTCATTATGTTAACCAATTTAAGAACATGCCTATCCTTTATACTTTATATAATGACATAATTGGTAGGCTATTGTTAAAAAATAATTGAACTTTGAATAGCATGATATCAATCATTTGTACATCCATTTAATTGAATATATTGTATGGTTTTTTTAGCAAATTGTTTGCGGGGTGGGGGGAAATCTGAACACAAATTGTTAAACAGATTGAAATATAACTATTGACTTTAACGCTCATGATTTTGTTAAGTTAGAAAATTCTGTTTATTTAGAAAATATTAACTTGGTTAGTGAATCTTTTGTTTTAAAGCTAATTAAATCGTCTGCTCCCAAATCTTGTTCATTAGATCCTGTTCCGAATACTGTTCTTAAGGACTGTTTAGACAAAGTTATTCCAGTTTTTATACGCCCACATACAATTGTGGACGTATATTGCCGTCGCCCCCATCAGTGGGTCCATCGTCCACAATTTCTTGTGAACGCTCTAATGCCAAAAGTTATCATCCAATTGTTTTAAAATTGATATATGTTGTTTACATTAGTGAAATGAAGAAGCCTATGTAATTTCAATAATTTCCGTTTATAACGTCTAGAGTTATGGCCCTTGTTTCACTTTGTTGAACCTTGTGAACGCTCTAATGCCAAAAGTTAACATCCGATTTTTTTGAAATTTATATGCAATATTTAAATTAAGGAAACGAAGAAGCCTATTGAATTTCAGCAATTTCCGTTTATTACTTCTAGAGTTATGGCCCTTGTTTCACTTTGTTTAACCTTGTGAACGCTCTAACCCCAAAAAGTTATCCTATCTTTCTGAAATTTATATGCATTATTTAAATTAGTGAAACGAAGAAGCCTATTTAATTTCAATGATTTCCGTCTAGAGTTATGGCCCTTGTTTCACTTTGTTGAACCTTGTGAACGCTCTAATGCCAAAAGTTAACATTCGATCTTTGTGAATTTCATATGCAATATTTAAATTAGAGAAACGAAGAAGCCTATTGAATTTCAGCAATTTACGTTTATTAATTCTAGAGTTATGGCCCTTGTTTCACTTTGTTTAACCTTGTAAACGCTCTAACGCCAAAAGTTAACATCTGATCTTTCTGAAATTATATGCATTATCTAAATTGGTGAAACGAAGAAGCTTATTGAATTTCAGCAATTTCTGTTTATTACGTCTAGAGTTATGGCCCTTTGTGAATGCTCTAACATCAAAAGTTATCAGCCGATCTGTATGAAATTTACATGCGTCATTTAAATTAGTAAAGAGAAGAATCCTATTGAATTTCAGCAATTTCCGTTTATTACTTATAGAGTTATTGCCCTTGTTTTTGCTCGATTGATGAAAGTTATCATCCAATATGTATGAAATTTATATGCATCAGCCTGTCAAATTTCAACAATTTCTGTAGATTACTTCCAGATTTGAGACCCTTGTTTCAATGTGTAGAACCATGTGAACCCTCGAACGGCAAAAATTATAATCTGATCTGTATGGAACTGTCTTGTAAAGGCCCCCTTGTCGACTGCTCGGACGATTTAGCCGCTGTGGGCGTATGTTTCGTTGCCCGGCAACCTATCTTTACCAATATTATTAATTCTTGTATATCATCCTTTACTATTCCCAACATTTACAAACAAGCTTATGTTACCCTTTTAATTAAAAAGTCTACACTGGATCCTAATGTTTTTAAAAATTACCTGTCTCTAACTTAAGTTTTATTTTTAAAATATTGGAGAAATGTATTGCTTCTCAGATAAAGGCGCATCTGGATGATAACTGTTTGTATGAACCATTTCAAAGTGCTTATAAACAATTTCATAATTAATGGAAATTGATAATAGAAATGAACATTTTTAATTTAATTAGATTTATCTGCTGCTTTTGACACGGTAGATCCTTCTATTCTTTTACATAGACTTCATTTTAAATTCAGTATTTGTGGCTCTGCATTAAATCTTTTAGAAAGCTATCTTGTGGGTAGAAAATTGTGTATTTTAGTTAATTGTAAATCGTAGTCTGAATCTGTTTGTCATCTGGGGTTCCTCAAGGTTCTGTTCTTGGTCCAATTTTATTTACCCTTTATACGTCACTATTAGGTGATATTGTCAGAAAATATGGTCTCAGCTTTCATTTATATGACGATGATACTCAATTATATATTTCATTTACACCTAATTGTCCATCTTCTTTCAATTTATCAAAATTGCAACTTGAGAACTGTATTAGTGAAATTAGAAAACAGATGTCAAAGAACTTTCTACAATTGAATGATGATAAAACTGAATATTTGTTATTAGGCTCAAGGCATCAATTAAACATGCATTATGCAAGAGCTAAATCTGCCTATTGCAGGTCTTTCTTTAGGCCTGAAATGTTTTCTAAAGTATTAATTAGACATTAATTAACTGATCCAGGCCTTAATCAACTCTCGATGGCATCAGATTTCTACGATATTAAATAGATTAGAATGGTTCAGCGATACTTTGATTTAATCAAATATGGAGGACCGAGACTTAGCTTCAATCAAACCTTCAAAGGCTAATATCTTCGCTTGCAATAGAGTAATTTGAATGAAATTTTCAAATTATTCATTTTACATCATCTACTTTCGAACTATTATAGCAAGAATGGCTAGTTCTTTATCTAAATCTTACATAATGTATCTTTAAGTAAATTTGTACATGAAAACCCCCCTGTTGTAATTGGTAATTGTTAAATACTCTTAAAAAAAGTGGGGGATATTCAGAAACAATACAAAACTGCGAAAATGCACTGCTGTTTTTATGAGAGGTAACCAGTGTTTTTTAATAACAGGCCAATTTCCTACACATGAATATAAACAGTTCATATTGGCGGCTTATCTGACGGCCCCATTTCACTCGCAAAGAGATACACCATCAAAAGTGAAAATGGACGTTTTTGATTTTTGTCTTAATAATGAGTAATTGCTCTACCAATCCTCAGACATTCAGCAATTAGTCGTGGCATGTTTCTAATGAAGCGTCCAATCATGATTTGAGGCAATCTGACCCCCTCCTCTTGCAGTGCCACGGCCAATTCATGCAGTGTTGTCGGTTGACGTTGACATTGACGAACACGCCTCCCGATGAAATTAAACGTAATACACTAAAACAAAGATATGCTAAACAGTAAATCTTATGTAAGAACCGATAGGAAAGCAAACATGGATAGATAAACCAGCACGCGGCAGTTTTCATCTACTCTTCAATGAAGTGTCAAATTTGACAATGGACCCCTCCCATGTGTATGGCGCTATTGCGTGTCGCTTGTGCAGCTCAGTGGTTCTGTTGGGGCGATAAGTTCTTCATCTGTGAACATACTCTCAAAGCATGTCAAGTGTCCATGACTATTTATCATATCACGACCTGCATAGGTATTTGCTTTTCAATATCCCCTACAGTATATATTTTCATCTTATTTTGCTCAGAAAATTGGCGCAATCTTTGATAGTTTTATGCTTATGGGAGCTCAAGTAAAAAATATTTGTAAATTGTGCTATTTTAATATCAGAAATATAGGTAAAATACATAAATTTGAAACTGTAGAGGCCACTAAGTCACTTGTTAATTCTCTGGTCACTTCTCAATTAGATAACTTTAATTCACTTTTAGTTAGTTTACCTTTAATTTAAAGCTTATTGATAAATTACAAAAAGTACAGAATACTGCAGCTAGACTTGTTACTTTAACATGCGACAACATAACTCCTGTTTTATATAATTTACCATGGTTACCTGTTAAATATTGAATTGATTTTAAGATTTTATTACTTACTTTTAAATGTTTAAATAATTTAACTCCTGTTTACCTCATAGATCTTTTAGAACTTTATACACCTGGCCGAACATTACGTACATCAGATAAACTACTTTTAAAGCCCAAAACTGTTCTACCATTTAGTTTAAGATGTTGTACATCTCTGTATTCTTTTAAAAAAAAACTTATGTTCAATGCTCTTTTAGTTATCAAGCACCTGTTTTATGAAATAATCTACCATTTAGTTTAAGATGTTGTACAACTCTATTTTCTTTGAAAAAACACATTTATTTAATCAGGCTTTAAACTGGTGCTGTATACAATCGTTAACATGTCCATAATCTTGTTGTTTATTTATGATTACATTGTCACTTTGTAAAGTGCCCCTGAACATGTTATATGAAAGGGTGCACTATAAATATTTTGTTATAATAATAATAACTGAGGTAGTCATTTAGTATGTATATCATAGTACCGGTAATCTGAATTTTATTACCATTCTGAAAATATAAAATGTCATTTTATGATGATAAACATAAGTGATTTAAAGGAGATGATAATCTGAAGGATTAGGAATGAGCTTTTTAGCACTAGCTTCATTCCATATTCCTGACATTTACAGCTAATTTTAGCAAAAAAATAAAGTGTACCAAGGGAGGTAACTCCAGAAGACCTTTGTGCAAATGTCTTAAAATAATTCTACTTACCTCAGGTATTCATATATTGGAATTAAGACAATCAAGTCAAATAATGCTTATTCGAAGAATACTGTTTTATTCATCATGTGATAAAACTGCTTATCATTACATAACAATTATTTGAAAATAATCTCAAAATAGTGTGTCAAGGGAGACAACTCTTATATTGTACTTGGTACTTACCAGTAGCTTTTTGACTGACACTCAATGATGAATTCTTTGGATTTCTGCAACCAAAAAACTAAGTTTAAAATTGATAGCAATATATGGTTGTATCTACAGATATTTAAGAAATTATTGACAAAAAAAATTCTTTGTAGTTTCGAATTTTATAGCCAAGCTCACCCTCTCTTTGCTGAATGATTGGGTATTCCATGTCTCTTAGGCGGCTGAACAAAAAGCTTCTGGTAGTTTTCCATAAACATGTTGTGGAAATCTTCCTGGGATTGTTCATCATTTCTGTTTGAATTAGAAAATTATAATAATTACATATATCTTTAAAATATATTTGTGAACTACAATGATGATACACTTTAAGGCTCAAGCCTTTAATTCAATGGTCTTTAATTCAAATAAGGTTTCCTAAGATATATTATCTTCATTAAGAAAATTATAATAATTACATATACACTCAAAACCCCTGCTTTGTTTCATGGTTCTCTGACGTTTTGGTTTTGTGCATTTGTAGTGAATTCTTTCATGAAATTATGCACAGATGCTTGTTATCTCGATTTTGTCAATTGTTATGTACATTTGTTAAAAGTTGTTGCAGTAAATCAACTTTAATGGCTTTGAGTGTATCTTTAAAATATACTCTTCAAAAAAAGTAGGGGATATTGAAATGCAAATGCAGGTTGTGATATGATAAATAGTCATGGACACTTGACATGCTTTGAGAGTATGTTCACCGATGAAGAACTTATCGCCCGAACAGAACCACTGAGCTGCATGTGCGACACGCAATAGTGCCATACACGTGAGAGGGGTTCATTGTCAAATTTGACACTTCAAGGAATGGTTGATGAAAACTGCCGCTTGCTGGTTTATCCTATTCATGTTTGCTTTCCTATCGGTTCTTGCATAAGATTTACTGTTAAGCGTATCTTTACTTTATTGTGTTATGTTTTATTTGATCGGGAGACGTGTTTGTCGACGTCAACGTCCACCGACAACACTGCAAGAATTGGCCGTGGCACTGCAAGAGGAGTGGGTCAGATTGCCCCAAATCGAGATTGGACGGTTGATTAGGTGCATGCCACGACTAATTGCTGAATGTCTGAGGATTGGTGGAGCAATTACTCATTATTAAGACAAAAATCAAAAATGTCCATTTTCACTTTTCACAGTGTATATCTTTGCGAGTGAAATGGGGCCGTCAAATAAGCCGCCCATATGACCTGTTTATGTTCATGTGTAGGCAATTGGCCTGTTATTAACATACATTGGTTACCTCTAATAAAAACAATAGTGCATTTCCGCAGTTTTGTATTGTTTCTGGATATCCCCTACTTTTTTGGAAGAGTATATATTTGTGGACTACAATGATGATACACTTCAATTTAAGCCTTTTATTCAAGGGTCTTTAATTCAAATAAGCTTTCCTAAGACATATTAAATCTTCATTAAAACAACACACAACAGTTTGACCCCCTATTTTAGCTAAAAGGATGATAATTCTATCAATCAGAAAAAAATAACACTGTAGATTCAAATTGCATAAGAAACTCACAAGAATTAAATAACTTGTAGGTAGTAACAAGCTAAAACAACAAGAAATTAAATAAAATGTGTAAGGTTTGCTCAAGCTAGACTAATAATTCCAATTGTTGTCTACAAATAGAGTTAAATACAATTCATATAATTATAATACCTTATTTCATAATTCATGAAATACCTGTCTTTTTCTCTAAAGATATTTTGTTCAAGGAAACAAATATAATTTACTTTGTATTTTCTAATAAGTGGTTAAATATTTTGGTTCATGACAGTCACAATTTTTTTCATATAACATATGGAAAATAACATTGGCCTAATTAGAGCAATGTAATTTGCCTATGAAATGAATAACTTCATGAAAACCAATTCAAAACTCATAAATATCAACTTGCAATTTTATCATGCCTGATTTAACTTAATCAGAAAAAAAAGGGTGGTATTGCCTTTTTGATCATACAAGGTGACCCCCCAAAAAACAGAACCCATAAAATTTTTATTAAATCCTACAAAGGTCCAGCAAATTTCAAATTTGCTGGATTTAAACTTCAGTCTGTGTATGATCATTCCTTAAAGTTTTGACAGTTATCTTGGTCAGTTTGCATAAAGTCGTGTTCTTTCCAAAATATGCTCCAAATAGTCTCTGCAGAAGCTGGACCTTTGTAGGATTTAATAAAAATTTAATGGGTTCTGGGTTTTTTTGGGGGGTCACCCTGTATGAATCATGAAAGCAATGCATTATAAAACAATTAATACAATCTGAAGAGGCTCGACATAAATACAGCCATAACCTACTGCACTCGCAAAGAAACAAAGGAGTAAGACACTTATTATCAGATAATTATATCTTTGTTATATGAACATCATTGATTAGTCTGGCATTAGTTAATCACTGTTGGTTATATTATTGTTTTGAGAGGTATTTAGTATAATGATAGTACGGATTTATGGAAATAACTACTCCATACTTTATTTTTTAAATTGACGCCATTTAGGACTTGATTCACAGTATACTAGTGATTACAAAGGTACAAAAAGTTGAGAATTAAAATTAGTCACAAATGCATTTCACACAAACACAAACATTGCATAGTATGACTGAATCCCTATAAAATGATCCTGACTAAAAAGATAATTCACTTACTTATCTCTCAGTTTCTCAGTTTCACACAACAATCTTAATTTATCATAGTCTATAGCTGGTCTATCTGTTATGCTTGGCACTAAAGAAAAAATGAAATTATTACTCATTTCTGCATGGAGCATCGATGCAATTCTGTATTCCTTAAAGGAGCTAAATCACTAACATTTGGGACCCAGAAATTGACAAAAGTGGGTCGCAACGCATATAATACTGTAATATGAATGTATATAAACTGATTTACATTCAATGGTTTCCGTTTTTACTCCAATTTCAAATCAGTTATGTTCGGCGAAGTAAGCCAGCAGTCTCAATCGAGTGCAAATTTCTAGCGTCTGGTTATTTCAGTCTACATATGCCGTTCGATTTGGTGCAATGTGTCTAGCCTCGTCCCTCGAGTCTCTTTTTACAACTGGGGCTGAAGCGCATTATGGTACACCAATGGTAAAATGTGTATTTTGTCTTAAATATTGGATATCAAAAGCCCATCTTATTCCGGTAAGATCACAACATCAATGTTGATTTAATTTGACAAATAAATTGTGTTTTCAATGTTGAAGATTTTGGATGATATTGAGTTAGAGACTTAGCTACTTTAAATCAGACTCAATTTAACTTGCAAGACAAAATAGGTCACAAAACAAAATCCCAAAATGAAAAACAATATTGATATATGCCATGACAGATGCACCTACGGAAGACAGCAGTCAAACAAGGACTAGTTTGGGATGTTGAATTTTTACAGTAAAAGCAACTGTTTAAATATATAAGTAGAATGCACTGAATAAATATCATGTTCAAATGCTTTTTATACGCTCACATTTTCATGTGGACGTATATTGTCATCGCCCCTGACGTCGTCCACAATTTGTTTGTGGACACTACACAGGTCATAATTTTAATCTGATTTTGACGAAACTCTAAATATAGGTTTATATTCCAAAGATCTCCAGTCGTTTCGATATTGGAATGTATCGCACCGTAACTACATGGATTATGGCCCCTGATTGTACAAAAAATCATGTTTTTAGCTTGTGGACACTCTAGAGGTCACAATTTTGATCCGATTTGGATAAAACTTAAAAGATCTCGGTTCCTTTCGATATTCATGCATATTGGATCGTAACTTCCTGAATTGAATTATGGCCCCTGATTGTACAAAAAATTGCGTTTTTGGCCTGTGGACCCTCTACAGGCCACAATTTTTATCCGATTTAAAAAAACATTCTATAATATGACCATTACACCATAAAGGTAGGCAAGTTCGAATTTCGTGACAATCGAACCAAAACTGCCGGACAAAATGGCCACCGCTCTTACACAAATAGTGTAAAAATATGGTATATCAAGGCTGTGGACACTCTAGAAGTCACAATTTGAATCTGTTTTTTGATGAAACTTTAAATTTATGTTTATATCACAAAGATCTTGGTGCTTGTTGGATTTTAACTTCCTGATTTATGGACCTTGATTTTACGAAAAATCATGTTTTTAGCTTGTGGTTCCTCTAGAGGTCATAATTTTTATCCGATTTGAATATATCACCGTTGAGTTCAAATTTTGTGAAAATCGGACCAAAACTGCTAGACAAAATGGCCGATCCTCGTATGCAAATAATGCAAATATCAAGGTTGTGGACCCTATAGAGGCCACAATTTTGAACCGATTTAATGAAACTTTAAATTTATGTTTATATCACAAAGATTTTGGTTCCTTTCGATAATGACGCATATCCAAACGTAACTTCCTGGATTATGGCACCTGATTGTTCGAAAAATCACATTTTTAGCTTGTGGACACACTAGAAGTCACAATTTGTAGTCAATTTTAAAAACTTTTAAATATATCACTGTTACACATCAATGAAGGTTGAGTTCGAATTTCTTAAATACCAAGGTTGTGGATCCTCTAGAAGTCACAATTTTTATCTGATTTGGATGAAATTTAAAATATATCTTTATATCCCAAATATCTCAGTCCCTTTTGATATCCACTCATTTCAGACCATAACTTTCTGGATTATGGCCCCTGATTGTACGAAAAATCGTTTTGTTTTTTTTTTCCTTGTTCCCCTTTCATCTCTTGCAAAATGTGGGTGTATCTTGCCTGACAACCGCTGGTTTGGATATATTTTGGCTAAGCTATGAGCAATCACTCCACAATTCATCCACAAATCTAGTTCAAATTCAAACACTTGCAATATCTCATGCACATATCAACTTGTATAAAATTATATGATAAAAACAAACTTGCATCACAAACTAATTATCTTGGCTAATTAAGGGAAATATCTCCACAAATAATTGACTAATTGCGTTAAAATTCCCAGATAGTGGATATAATGTAACATTCAAATTGTCATTAAAATCAGATAAAAAACATTGTCTATATCACGTTTGTGGATGGGCCAGAAGACAGGGATGACAACAATATATATTCAAGTTAGAATTTTGTAAATTTGGTTTTATTATGATCAGCAGCTGTGTAGTAGAACACAACAGTGCTTTATATTGTTACTTCTCACAGGTCATTTTCTACGCGAATTAGGGGGTTGGGTGGCCAAATGGGCTAAGGCAAGCTCTTTAAATCACAAGGTCTGTCATTGAGTTGAGTAGCATGGTTTTGATTCCACGCTTGTACATGACAAGGAATAGGGTCGCCTGTCCAAACTTGTGGGTTTTCAACGGGTTCTTCAGTTTTCTCCCACTGCTAAAGACCCCGACGCACAACTGTAGTATTAAAATAAAATTGAACCATGTTAGTTCCGAAATGATCCCACTTCTGTTCTGTGTCTACTCTAATTATATAAAATATACAAAATTGATTATACTACTCAATATCAATGCAAAGTGGTTAAGCGTTAAACTAGTAGGGATAGTATCGCTGACTTACAATTAGTTAGCATTATAGCCTATGTCACAGATGTGGACAAAAAATACCCTTTTGTAAAATATTGTAGTTTGGAAGGATAAAAAAATCCCTTAAATAATTATCAGCTAAATGGTGTGATATATTTAGATGGATGGAACTTGTGTGAAAGAACCGTATAGGCTATTGCCGTTACCAGATATCAAAAACAAATTCATCATGGCAGTAGGCGTGTCCTATTTTTATCAAATGATATAGCAGCCACGGTGGCCAAGTGGATAAGATGCTGGCTCACTATCATGGAGGTCGCATGTTTCATCCCTGCATTGGCCGAGAAAGTTCATTGGGATTTTCCGACGTAGACGGAGGGCCTGACAAGGACAGCTGTCCTGTGTGTACATTGGCATGCACGTAAAAGATCCCTTGGCATTTGGAATTTGATACAAGAGTATGGCGTATGCCCGTCTTTATTAGCCCAGTCGGAGCAGAACAGTAGCCTACGTCAGTGTAGGACATTAAACCCCGTTTCATTTCATTTCAAATGATATAATTGTACTGTAAGCCTTTAACTTTGTATTGTGTTCGGTCTAGCTGACATTGACAGTCAGTTGCCTTTTAACTCCCTGGCTCGATCTGAACTTCTGAAGGATTAGACGGATTAATTAAATTATTAATGTTGGAAATGACATTCATTGGAATGTCTCATTGTCTTTCTTACACTTCATTCGTGGCTTTCTGGTTGACTTTACATCCCAGGAATATTGTACCATCTTTTTGTCTGATTTTATCAGCGCCATGGTATAAACTTTAGTAATTATAATGTTTGTCTATCGTCACAGTCATACAGTTATTCAAAACCTCTAAAAGCACCTGCAAATTTTATGTTTATACCGCCATATTGTTTACATTCGCAACGACACAGACTTGGTTATCCAGTCATCTTGAAATAGGTTTATAGTCAGTGCAGAAATCTGGACAATGAAATCAAGACTATGGTGGCGGAAGTTGAGTTTATTTTTGACTAGCGAGAGTTATAAATAGAAGTAAAATCTATGAATAGTTCAATTGTTCCTCCTGAGACAGGTTGAGATTTGTCAGCTTCAAAATATAAAATTTATCAAAGATTAAAAATGCAGGAGGAAGAGAATTATGACCTTGAAAACCACAGAAGGCGACCTGCACCTTACCTTGCTTTCAGCCTTAGAATAGAATTAGGTACCGTGGGACGTAGGCTACATACATCAACTTGAGTTGAAGTCATTTGACTCAATAGTCAATGGCAGACTCTGTGATAGAACACACAGGCGCTAACCATTCGGTCATCCACCCCCAACCCCTCACCCCCTTTTATTAAAGATAGCTGCCAGACAACAAAACATGTTACCGTATAGCTGCCAGACAAAAAAACATGTTAGTTATCATTCGATTGACTTTAAAGTAGCCAGTCTCTATCTCAATCAATATCATCCAAAATCTTCGACATTGAAAACACGAATTATTTATCTATTTAAATCAACATTGATGGTGTGATCTTACTGGGAAAAGGTGGGCTTCTGATATCCAATATTTAAGACAAAATAAACATTTTATCATTGGTACACGAATCGTGTACCATAATGCGTTTCAGCGTAATTTGTAATAAGGGACTCAAAAAACGAGGCTAGGTATATTTCACCAGGCATGCCAGATGGTGACACCATATTCTTATCTGTTGAGCATTCCCAATAAAATACTATCGGTGTAGACTGGAAGAACCAGACACTAGAGATCGCCTTTCGATTGAGACTTCTGGCGTATTTCGCCGAACATAACTGATTAGAAATTACAGTAGAAACAGAAACGATTGAATGTAAATCAGTTTATATACATTCATATTACATTATTATATGCGTAGCGACCCATTTGTGTCAATTTCTAGGTTCCAAATATTAGCGATTTAGCCCCTTTAAGGCCATAGACATGAGATAGTTTTTTTTATTGATTTTTAACATTACTGTAAGAATTATCATCCTTGATAAATTTGAAGTCTTGTGTGGACTCTAGAGGTTAGAATTAATCCACAGATGTTTATGAGACAAAGAATCCTATTGATTTCAAACAAATTCCAATAATTAGGCCTACTGAGTTATGGCTCTTGATTAATTTGAAAAACCTTGAGGACTCCCTAGAGACAAAAGTTATCATCCTTTATACTTGAATTTAAATGTATACACAGCATTTATGATTATGGGATGAGCAAGCCAATTGATTTTCATCTAATTCAGATAATTGCACTAGAGATTACCCAGATAACACGTACCATATTTGGCACAGACACAGCCCATATCTTTCTACATCTGGCAAAATGATTGGGCCAGATATGGCATACCAGAACTGGGCCAAATCTGGCATATCTGGGCCGGATGTGACACAGTCAGAGCCAGATCTGGCCGACAGTCGCAAATGTACGCCCTCCCTTGTATGGCCCAGATCTGGCTAGAGTAACAGCTGGCAAAGATATGACATGCCACATGTGGGCCAGAAATAACACAACTGGCCCAAATGTCCCACACATGAAAATTATGCCATGCCAGATGTGGGCCAAAGATGGCAACATATGTTTATATCCCTTCTTAAAGAGGGAGCTTGGATGGTCTAGTGGTTTAACGCGTGCATATGAAATCATAAGGGCTGTCATTGAATCATGTGGCATGGTTTCGAATGCCCGCTTTTACGTGACAAGGAGTAGGGTCGCCTGTCCAACCTCGTCGGTTTTCTCTGGGTCCTTTCCTCCCACTGCTAAAGAACCCTGATTGAACCATGTTAGTCCAAAAATTACCTAGTTTGTGTCAAATGAAGTTTAAAACCCATTTCTCTGTTTCTCTCCAGCAGAAACAGCCAATACTTTCTTCCAAGTTCCATTTGGCACTATAGATTGTAGATATTAAGGGTTTCTTGCATTAAAGTTACATTCCCACGTACAAACTGGGTGATTTGATGATATATTTGGACTAAAAACATATTCAAACTAATTAATTTATCATAATTTTGCTTCAAATCCTTCTCAAAACATTGTAATTGCCAAGGAATACAGTGCTATAAAAATCGATCAAAAAGAGGCCATGTTTGTTTCACGTGACTTACCTCTCTCGGTACCTATAGCAACGGCTGCGAAGTCGGAGGAGAATTTATTGTATACACAAGACGATGTTGTCTTTAATCGTTGACTATTTATTACAAATATCAAATCCTAATTAAATTCTCGGATTATCCACTGCCTGCGTCTTTTTCCGTGATTTTTATCTCAGAAAGTGTTGTACGTCTAATTCTTCATAAAGTTTTTCAACATGTACACCAAGCGCTCAATCTTTGCGTGCAACCTTCGACGTCACACGTGCAGGAATTCCTAATCGTTGGGCTGTCGATTAGGGGAACACTTACATTTTCGTCCTGTATACACTCCATGGGCGTTTTTGAGGGAATTCAGTATTTTTCTAGTAAGATTGGATATCTCTACTTTCCATATATACCAATATTGTTATACTTTTATTGGAAATAACCACCCGATAAATACTTTTCTGGGAACCTATCTTTAACAACAAAAGCAAAATCTTTAATTATAGAATTTATTCATCTATGTCAATATCTTCCTCCTCCTGTTCCCTCTCCTGCTGCTGTCTCCTCCTCTCTTTCCCCCTTTTTTTTTCTTCCCCCATTCCTATCCCCAACCCAATTCATACCAGAACTACTAACCCTATATCAACCAACTCGGTCCTTGAGATCTTATAACCAGAACACACTTGTCATTCAACAGTTAAGACTGAAACATTTTGGTGACAGCAGTTTTAGTGAAGTTGCTCCCTAATTGTGCAATGATTTACCACTGAAAATCCGAAACAGTGAAACTTTGACTACTTAACTTTCACAGCTAAAGACTCACTTATTTCAAGAATTAAACTTTCTGTTCACTGGGTATATAAATATTGTGTTATTGCACTTTGTGCATGCTTTTGGATGGATTTGGCGCTCTACAAATGTACATTATTATTATTACCTGATATTTTATTATTCAAACAGTTTTTTACATTTTTGAAATTATTTTCCATCGCATCCTTGTGGTGGAGTTTGATTACACCTGCAATAAATGCAAAAAATGTACATAAATAACACACATTTTTACTTCTTTCTATCAAGCATGGTCTAGGGGTTTGCAATGCAAGTTTCAAATATTTCTTATTTTTGGAAAAAATATAGTTGGCCCATGATTTCTTAGAACTGATTTGATAAGCTTATTTTTTCTCTCTGTTGATTAATTTGAATTTTATTGAATTCTGTTGATTATGCCAAGGCAAAATAATAGTTAAATGAAGTTATTTAAATAATAAAATCACATAAATGTTATCTAATTTAATATTATTGTAGAGAAAGTAATTAAAATATACTGATCTTTTTTTTCTGGAATTTGAAATTTCGCATTTTGGAATTACGAATCTAGTAATTTGGAACGGGTGTTTATCCGGCCCAGGCATCAGATAGGTAAGCCCTAAACTAGCACTAATTAGTTGTGTAAAATTACAATTTATTTAAATTCTAATTTGTTTAATTGAGGGGGGGCTGCCAGTTTGCTATTTTATTGGTAAGACATGAATTTGGAATTTGGAATTTGGAATGAGCCTTCTTGGCTCTCGTAGTTTCTTGTTAATATTAACTTCTATTATGTTGTTTTACACTGAATTTAGAATTTAAAATTCAGCCAAGTTATCGCCCAATTGACTATTAACTTATACACAGTTCTTATTATTGTCATCAGACAAGGAAGCCTATTGATTTTAAACAGTTTGCAGTAAATACTGTCAGAGTTATGGCCCTTGATCAATTTGGAAAATCTTGTATAGACTTTAAGTAGAGACGAAGAGTTATTGTTTGTCACCCCCGTTATTGTCATGAGGCGAAGAAGACAGAAACTTCATTTTGCAGGCATCCCCACAAAGCACACTACATACTGTTAGTGCAAAAAAATAAAATGTTTGTTTCCAGAGCATATCTCATAAATCATTCAAAATATCAGAATGAATCTTTCAGTTTCTATACGCTGATTAGAAATTTCTTGAATTTAATTTTTTTTTGTGTTCCCAGGGAAACAATTTTTTTTTAGGATACAATTTATATTCTGTAGAATATGCCATAGAATGTTGTAGCTTACAACACAATCTATGATATAGTCATGGGTTTTGCTACCGGTAATTAGATTTCTCTCGAATTTAAGAAGTTTTGTTTTACCATGAAAACAAATTTGTCTTAGTTTTTGGTATACAATTATCTCAGAAACCGATCAATTATGATTATGAAACTTTGTACATACTTCTTCCTATTAAGACTTTAGCTAACTCAGAAATTCCCAGATGAGTACTTTTTGTGTTTGTATGGAAACACATTTGACTTGTTTTTGGTATGCAGTTATTATTCCAGAGCACATCTCAGAAAACGTTCAAACTTACTTTTATAAAATTTTGTTTTCAAACTTCCAGCATTCATACATCTAGAGCAATTCTTCAGTCTTTGATATTTTGATAATGTAATCTAAAAAAACAATTCTGGAGTTATATACTATAACCAAGTAGCATAATATGTCAGATATATCTTATTGCTTACCAATAACACTGAGATTGTCTATCCTTATTTATTATACCTTACAAAACATGTCCAAAGTCATGGGATGCTGATTACTGAGTCTTCTTGTTTGGTCAGTATTTTTGCCAAAAAAACTTGTTGGCATAATTTCAATTCATTTCAGAAACCATTAGAAGAGTAAGCACTTTTTGTCCAAGAACATCAAGGAAACATCCTAGAGTAGATATGAATGCTGTAGGCTAATACTGGTATACTTAAACCTTAGTGAACTATATGGGATTGTTCACTAATAAGGCATATTGGAATTTCCACTAGAAATTTA